CCCCTTCGAGGTCACGTGTTTAAGTCCCCACTCAGACGACCCCGTTACACCTATCTTTAGGGATAGAGTACTATAGTTATAATAAAAAGTTATTATAATATAATATATTTGTAAGGGTTGCGCAGAGCTTGCAGATACCTGATAACAGTAATGAATTCGATAGAGGTCTTAGAGAGCCTCGAGTAGGGATTATAAGAATCCCTTACGAAAACCACGCTAATTCTAACTAGGAAACTCAGGAGAAGTACTCAACTACACTGGCCACCAAGTGCCCTCGACGGGCAGCTGGTAGTCGTTAGTTGTTCTCACGGCGCTTTGTCGCGATTACTACACTGGATCTCATCCAGAGTATATCTCCTGGGCACCAGCCCATTACACACTATTGCTAATTGCCAACTTCTAAGTGCCCTGCAAACCAATCCTAACACTTAGCTAGTTACTAAAAACCCTCTTATATATATATAGTTCTTTTATAGCAACAGCCTTAGGGTTTAAATTAAACTAGAAGTATAATAGCTTTTCCTTTATATAGTAAACTGTGCCCTGTCCTCTACTGAAAATAGGTTGGCCGTGTTCATGTATGTAGGGAGCATCGTTGATAGACGAGTATTGTCTGACGCCAAGGGCTATCAGCCGGTCCATCTTTTTAGTAATGCAGATTTGAGCAGTACTGCATGCACCCTTATTAACGTTGAGATGCTAGCAATGTTAGAAGGGCTGCGTAGCACGGATCTGTTTATCAAGATATGAGGATTGATAGATAATACAGTCTTGCTGTAATTCAGCGCCTGGGCAGATATGCCCGGCTTGGCAGACGTTGCAGACGTGGCTAACGTGGCAGACAGCCGAGAAACTATCGGATATTTTAATGATCTACTCCGCTCTACTTCAGCTTGCAAAACGAGACCAGCTGACCCTACAAGTCTGATTCTTCTCCTATAACTGTTACCTACATCTGCCTGCATGCTTTTAATGTAGCCTTAAGAAGGGCAAAGGAGACTATAGAGCTAAGAATAAACAAGAATAGCTTGCTAAGACTGTACAGGTATTAAAGAGACAACCTAGCAAGCTTACGAAGATAGCAACATGGTTGTCTGGTCTAGAGTGTCAGATTCAAATAATAACTGATCAGCTAAAACCATCACAAAGTGCTAGCTTTCAGGTAGAATCCTTGTTCCAAGATCAAATACACCGACTGACTGGTCATGTGATGATTTGCATCATGTGACTGTTCATCAATCACGTGCATAGCTAGTGAGCCGATGAGAAGCCCTATGCAGTCATTAATAATTGATAACTTATCGATGACATTAATTCATGCCAACTTGAATGTACTTTCTTTGTTGTCCATAATTATTTGATAACCTGGAAACACCAGAAATGACAGACTCTCGTCTCTCAACATCCGTACAAAGCTTACAAAGCGGCATTATTGTTTGGCCAGCAAAAGAGCCTGATCAAAATACGTCACGGCCTCAGCGAGCTCGATTGGTTCTATCGTGCGAACAGTGCCACAAGTCAAAGATACGATGCAATCGTCGTAGGCCATGCAACAGATGCACTAAAGCGGGACGAGAGGAGCATTGCACATATCAAAGTGCCCCGAAGAACTTAGGGCAGAGTAGCCCCGCGACAGACTCCTCCCCGAAGATATTCGACCCATCGCTTTTTGCCCTCTATCTTGATGGTAAGGCTAGATCCAGTACGATTACTCGGTGGGCAAAACTAGTCTCAGAGGTGAGTATCTTGGTTCAGGACTGCATCAGAACTCGAGCTGATTGCTACTCTTTAATTGCAGTTTCGCGAAGGTCGCGAGTATTTCTTTGGAATACATCCAGACTTTCGAGATACGTTCCAAAAGGTACAGGACTTGGCACAGCTGTACCCAACTCCTAGAGAAGGCAGTTTCCCGTTCGGCGATGGAAGTGTTGGCGAAGACACCATGTCACGATACCTCAGCCACATCCCCGATAAACGGCAGTGTAATCTCCTCCTTGATAATTACTTGCGCACGATTGAAACCATCTTCCCGCTATGGCATCATGGGATGCTTGAGAATCAATTCCGTGCCTTCTGCGACGACCCAAACAAAGTCGATGCTAGTTGGTTCTCTCAATTTTGCATGATGCTCTCGGTAAGCTGCTGGACTGCTCCAGCCTGGATGCAGTCACAATTCGATGTCAACCTGCGAGAATTGAGCTGGGCCTTGCTGGAAATTGCAGAGAAAGCTTTGAAGCAGTGGGAACTCTTCGATCTTCCTGATATCGCTACCATTCGAAGCCTCTGTCTAATGGCTATCGCTAAAATGTTTGAAATTGTCCCAATGAGCAGTCTTTCAAGTCTCGCCACCATAATGGGAATGGTGGTTCGAACGGCGATGATGCATTCTATGCATAGAGATCCAAAGTGGTTCACTCACATGCCTAAAGAAGAAGTGGTAACACGAAGGAAGATGTGGACCACAATCGTGTTTCTAGATCTTTACACTGCTATCGACGTCGGCCTACCCACCCTCGTGCGAGCTACAGACTACGACACGGGGGCCATACCATCATATTCGGAGGAAGCAGATACCGAATGCACATCTAATAGCAGCGACAGTCCGACAGCATCCCAAACAGACCCAGCCTTTCCCCATTTCCAATCTCTCCTCAGTAGGACCTTCGCCTCGGCCTCCTTCATCATCAACACCGTCAACTCCGTCAGACCAACAATTCCATTCTCTGCTGTCCTCCATCATGACAAGATCCTCCGTGTTCTCCTTGCCGAAGCGTCTAACCTCCCCCTCGAGCCCCTTGGTAGCATGAACAGTGAGGGGTACATCCTCGCAACACCCTCCGATCCCCTCTTCCAGAAGATCCTGCTAGAAATCTACATCCGGCGTCTACTTTTGACCTTGCACCAACCCTACGCCCGCGCTGAAGGCGACTGGGCAACCTATGAAAAGTCTCACTGGGCAGTCTTAGAATGCTCCCTAGCTCTGCTGAATTATCATCAGAAACTGGTTGATATCATGCAGCCGAGCAATGCATCCTGGCTTGGCGATCTATTCGGTATATCTTTCAATATCGCGTCGATATACGTAGCACTTGGACTACGACGAAATGAGTTCACGTTCGGGGCAGAGCAAGGAGCAGCAGGAGGGGTAGTGGAAGAGGTTGCAGCGAAGGAAATTGCCTGGGGTGCGTTGAGGAAGAGCACGGACTTGTTTAGAGAGCAGTTGCCGCATAGTTTGAATGCGTTCAAGTTTTACATGGGGAGTGTATTTTTGATCGCGGGATTGGAAGCGTTAGAAGATGGCGGGGAAGCGGTGTTCTTGGAGAGAATGAATGAGGCTGCGATGAGGATTGTCGAGGAAACTCATGCTGCAGTAAGCAGATGTGTAACTGATAGTGACATTAATTAGAGTTTGTATTTGGTCGAACGATGTGTGTGTTAAGGTGGACGTGGTTCACTTTACTGGGTGAATTCTGAAAGGTTGGGTCCTCCTATCGCCTAGAAGCGCAACCCGATCAATGGTAGAGTCATCATCCTCTGAATTGTCTCAAGTACAACACTTTCGATCATGAGACCACGTAATCTCATGGAACTATGGGGATATGGCTTGCTTCTCAACTGCTTGAAAGGTCATATCTAAACGCCGAGCGCTCTCGAGCTCCTAAGTGACTTCGGTTTCATGAGTAGTTGACAAATTTCGCTTTGAAGTGCCGTCCGATCAGACTGCATCAATGGAAGCAATGATGGATAAGGATCCAGCGTGTAAAGTGTTTCTTATCGTGCATGATGGACATTTAATCATTTAATCAATGCAGGTGCAGAACCTCCGGGGAAGAACCGGTGACATGGGTAGCGCTTCGGTGTTTACGTTTCCCGAAAGAGTAAAAGTCGGCGATAGTGACGTAGATCTGAAATCTCTCCTAGCTCCACCTTTGTTATTGTCTTGAGATTAGGGTTATTTCGAAAGCGTATACATACAAATGTATGGAATGCGTTCGGAGCTCCTTTACCGGGAATTTGTAGGGTACAGTTGAGCCTCTTCCTATCTAGGCTATGTATCTCGTATGGTACAGAGGTACTGGTTCATGAATATATTAGTAATCTAGAGCAGATCTCTCGGGCAACGCGGAGATCTACACCCCACGGTAGAGTGGGGTAATAGATTCAAATTCCACATTTAGATTAATAACCCTGGTCGAGATCCACTGCCTCGTCACTCAAGTACAAGGTACTTGTAACTGATTTGGCGTGACTACCTGATTAGGAGGAGTTGCGTTTTGGACGCTGTAATGATTGGACAAAAGCCATGGCCTGTGTTCCTGAAAGCAATCGTTCTTATCAGGAGAAGGTTTTGAGTGTTCGTCGTATATCCTTGGGCTCAACGTCCAAATAACCCATTAAGAAAGTGTTAATCGGAAATACGGTCACAATCCTGTGCTGCACAAAACTCCGCTCCATAATGTCGAATCTAAGGCTGTTGCAGTTCTCAATTATTCCCACGGTGTGGGCAGTGGCAGTAAGAGCTATTCGTGTTTATAGGTGTGGCATTGCATTGGTTGCTAACAACTGAATAGCTATGCATTCGGGCACTCAGCTCCCCTCTTCGTCCAATTCCAGGCCCATGGCACACGCACTTCGTTAATTGGCCGCTAAAGTGGTACACCATCTGTGGAAAACGTATCTACTTTATCGATGCACTCCACCAGAAGTACGGCAAAATCGTTCGAATTGCGCCTGGCGAAGTTTCGGTTGCAACGCCGGGCGCGTACAAGCAGATCTATAGCGTCACATCAAAGTTTACGAAACATGAGTGGTACCAGTGGTTCTCCGGTCATGACGTTCCCGCCATGTTCACAATGACAAACATCAAGGAGCACGCTGCTAGACGGAAGGTTTTCGCACGAGCTTTTAGGAAGTCTCAGTTGAGGGCTAATTGGGAGCCTCAAATACAGAAAATCGCGAATCTAGCTGTCTTGAGAATTGCCGAAGCACTCGATGAGTCTGGAAGAACGGATATATTCGAATGGTTCAGATTCATGGCAAGTGATTCTAGTGGTATGCTTATGTTTGGTGATAACTTCCATAGCCTGGAAACTGGAGAGGTTAGTTACTCCCAATTGATGGCACCCAATTAAAAAGGCTGATAATCTCGACAATGAAGACTCACCACATCATTAAAACCATCTCAGTATATCTAATAGGAGCTGGAGTCGGAGCAGAGCTTTCGTGGATCCCATTCCTTGCGAAGATAATTCCAAGCTCACGTCTGCACGACTTATTCAATGGCTGGAATTCGGTGTTACAATATGCCAATCTTGCAGTCGAGAACTCTCGTGGCCAGCGATACGGCACTGGCAAGACAATCTTTGGTGACATTATTGAACAAGCCGAAAAATCGGATAAACTTAGCGATGATGAGATCCGCAACGAAGCAGGCAACTTTACTGTTGCAGGTACTGATACAACAGCCACGACTATTACCTACTCAATCTATGCTGCTCTGCTTCATCCTGATATTCAGAAGCAATTAGAAGCCGAAGTAGATACATTGCCAGATGGATACAATGATGATGACGTAGAGAAGCTGCCCCTACTCAACGCTACGATCAAGGAGGCTGGCAGACTTTACGGCGCAGTCCAAGGCTGGTATCCCCGAGTCGTACCCGAAGGTGGTGCAATGATAGAGGGGTTTTTATTACCCCAAGGAACGACTGTTGGTGCTCAAGGATACACATTGTACCGCGATCCAGACATCTTTCCGAATCCAAATGAGTAGGCTATCCCAGCTCTGTTTCGTCCCCTCTACAAATACTGACAACTTTCGCTAGATTTGTGCCCTCGCGCTGGTTTCCAGAGAGCAGCATGTCAGCGGAAGCGAAGATAGTCTACAATCCCTTTGGTCCAGGCTCCAGAGTGTGTCTCGGCAAGCATCTAGCTGAGATGGAGACTCGGCTTGCAGTGGCGGCATTCTTTAGAAAATGCAAAGGCGCTGCATTGGCGCCTGAGACTACCCCGGAGTCCATGGAGTTCTTGAACTTCTTCGCGACGTTTCCAAAAGGTGATAAGTGCATTATTCAGACCTAGCCGCACTGATCAGATGGCGGGGAAATGGAAAGCATGTTGTTATCATAGAGTCTCTTTCTGAAATACTTATGCTTCTACGTATATCCAGAATGGAATATTTTTCCCTTCAAGATTTGCTTCGCATCATCGATCATCCAGTTGTATAGACGGCCGAGTAGTTGAAGATTTGATGCATAATTTGAGAATACATTCGGCCATAACATGATAGTGGTCAACTACAATTTATAACTAGATCTTTCTCCCAATTGCATGCTGTATCCCGCCGTAAGTCCAATTGAACATCATACGCTTCCTGCCGTCATCGTCCAACACATTCCTGGCCGGGATCCGAGAATGAAGCTGAACCTGAGAAGCTCTTGGATTCCGAACACCATCAATAACCCGGAGCAGCTCCTCGATCTTTTCGTCAGAAATATCGTCGCGATCAAACAAGGTCAGCGCTTCGGCATCCTCCAAAGCCATGTTCGCTCCCTGACCTTGAAATGGGCGCATGGGATGGGCGGCATCGCCAATCAAGAGCGTGCGACCACGCGTATATGTAGGAATTGGGTCCATGTCATAGCAGCTGAATAGCTGTAGACTTTCAGTAGAGCTTGTAAAGGTTAATTTTCGGAGTTGAAGTTTAGTGTAGCCGTATGAATATACCTCATCAAAGTGAGAGCCCAAAGCGGAAAGTCCTTGAAAATCTCTTTCATCTCAGCTATATCCCCATCTGCCGACCACGACTCTGTTCCAACAGAGTTCAAAAGCGTATTCGGTACCGTGATGCCAAAGTTGAGAACGCCATTGTTTTGACACGGATAAACCACGATGGAACGATTCGAGCGATCCTTTGGAACAACTACAGACAGCTTTGCACCTTCCACTTGTGAGAGCGGAGGTGGTAGATCGCCAAGTAACGATTTGACCGTGTCCATTGGCAGTGTAAATCTGTACAACGACAACCCGGAGGATACTGGCACTGAAGTCTTCCCGTCTAATACTGCCTCCCTGGTTACGGACCGAATTCCATCGGCTCCTGTTCACCTTCGATTTAGCAGCTCCTTTAAGTACTCGAAACGCGTCTTACCAATGATAAGATCAGTATTAGCAGAAGTTCCATCGATGAACTGGATTGAACCCGTAAGTGGATCGATGGCCTTCACGCCTCTCCGCTCCAAGACTTCCACGTCCCTCAGCCTTTCTTCACCGAAAGCCTTCTTCGTCGCAGCTCTGTACAGTGCCTCCCACACATCCTGACGATGCGCAAACAGATATTCTGTCCCGAATACCTTCTCATACGCCATGTTCGCGGCGTTGAGCAGATGACCCTCTGTACTAAAGACTCTGACTCCGGTATTCGCAACCCCGCGAACATCGTCTTTGGTGATACCGAGACGATGCAGAATCTTTGCGCCGTTTGGCGCAACGCCAATCGCCGCACCTTGCTCTTTACGTTGCATGAAGCCTTTTTCGTAGATTGTCACATCATGAGACTTTCGGAGGACGACGGCCGCAGCGAGTCCTGCGATGCCGGCTCCGATGATTGCAACTTTCAGGCGTCGCGGAGCAGTAGCTGGATCGGCCATGATGAAGAGCGATAATAGTTGATTGGGAGCGTTGATGTTCCAGAATACCTGATTTGCAAACAATTTAAATTCTGCGAAAGAGTCAGACAGATCAAGGCAGAACTGTTTGCTATCACGTACATAGCGTCGGACTTTAGATTTACCCAATCCGTAGGTCTTGGGGCGAACTACATCGGGCATAATGGCCATATTCAAACTCGTCATGACATGCACCCAATTCGGATCCTGCATCAACGTGCAGGGTTCTATCACAATAATGATGATGCACAGAGGACACGGGATAATAGCGCATGGCCGCCCCCACTTGATCTGAGCCACTTGCACTAAGGCGGTTTTGCTAACGCCGATACCATCATCTGCCAAATTCACGATGGTCCATGTAGGCGGATTTGAGAGACAGATAGGATTAACCGATTGCATCACTACATATAAATAATTGCGCAAAATGTACATCCACTTTGGCAAAGCAAAAATATTCGTTGCTCCCGTCTATACATTGCTCTCCAGTCATGGCAACCGCACCCTCCTTCGTAATCGACAACATCCGCATCTTCACTGGCGAAGAGGTCATTGAAAATGGCTACGTCTATGTCTCAGATGGAGTAATCGTAGAGGTGAGGTCCGGGAGTATTCCCTCAGACACGGACTCCTCTATTGAGCGCATCTCCAAGCCAGGACATACGCTCCTCCCAGGCTTCATTGATGCTCACGTCCATGCTTGGAGAGGTGATGAGACGGCTCTGGTCCTCGCACTCAAGTTTGGTATCACGACCGTCTTGGATATGCACTTAGAGCCGCCTTATGTAAAGAAGTTGAAAGCCTTGTGTGCGGATAAGCAGAACGATTCGCTATATGCGGACTTCTTCACAGCTGGGCTTGGTGCCGCAACAGGAGAGGGTTATCCTGAAATTGTACGTATGACGATACCCCTTGTACCTTCCCTTCTTCGGGCGGAAAAGGAAAATATGGCTTATCGGAGAACCATGAACCTAGATCATGACAGACTGGATCGGCACACCGTCAGCCCTCGCAGACATGGCTCTCTGGCCAAAACTCAAGTCCGTTGCCGACGTAAAATCATACATTAGAGACAGCATTACTCAAGGGTCGGACTACATCAAGATTTTTCATGAGTCTGGGAAGCCCATGGGCATGGAGTTGAAGCTCCCATCAATCGAGCTCCTCACTGCCATTATAGAAGAAGCACACACCAACAACTTGAAAGTTGTAGCCCATGCTCAGACTGTCGAAGACACGATTGCAGTATTGAATTGTGGGACGAATGGGCTGGCGCATAGTTGCTGTGATGTGAAGCCCACGGAGGCTTTGGTTAAGGCGTATCAGAGGAGGAATGCTTGGTGCTGTCCTACATTGGCGGCGACAGCCATGTTTACAGAGGAGGAACGAGAGAAGGCATTCAAGTATGCAAAAGATCCCAGAATCGTGGATATTGTTGGCGAAGAGGAGAGTAAGCGTTTATGCAAGTGCATGAGCCATTTCAAGGGGCATGCGGAACTGAAGCATGCCGTTGACAGTGTAAAGATGTTGCACGCAGCAGGCATTGATATTGTTTGGTAAGTATGAAACTTCTCCCCCTCTATATTGTGAATTTGAGGCTGATATGATGTAGCGGAAGCGATAGTGTCGGGAGTGGAAAGCTGGGAATTGGTTGGGGATCCTCGTTCCACCATGAACTGTCAATGTTGGTTGACAATGTTGGCATGAGTACAATCGACGCTCTGAAAACTGCCACTATTAATCCCGCGAAGAGGTTTGGCTTGTCTGATCGTGGAATAATTAAGACTGGATATAGAGCCGACCTGGCATTGTTTGATGGAAACCCACTCGAGAATATCGACCACACCATGAACTGCAAAGCTGTGTGGAAGAGTGGCACCTTGAGCATGTACTCTAAGAAGTAGCTCTATTCATTGGTACTTGAAGCATGTCTTTGTATTGATTGTGAAACGCCATTTACCTTTGCCATAAATCGATTCATGTAAATAATTTTCATATTGGAAGGTTGTTATGCTATAGTAGCAGCAATGAATCGAGTAGACACAAACAGCCGCGAACACATTCGTACATGCAGAACATGGAATAAAGGAGTATATACTGTAGTAAATCAAGGTTTAATCTACTATAATTCCTACCTAGCCGTCGGTCTAAGCATGCCAACGTTCATACCTTCTTCATTACTGCCGTCCCAACCAACGCAACCCTGGAAGCGACAAAGAACAAAGCCGAGGCAAGACACATCCCACCCCCAAACACTTTCAACGCCCAGAAGTCCCCATCAACAGCACCGATTAGCGCACCCGCAAGCGGGGGTCCTATCAACGCCCCAAAACTTCCAATCGCCCACATAGTCCCACTCCTGACCCCAATCTCCTTGATATCACTAATTTGCCCAATCATCGCAGGCGGCAGACTAATTGACGCCCCCGTAGCCGCACCTATACATGGTGCAAACGCGATCAGCGCCGCATTGCTCTTTGCAGGGATCCAAAAGCCTAGGATGAATATTGTAGCGAGGAACACAAGCACGATCATGGTGTTGAAGCGACCAATGCGATCGCCGACAAGACCGGGGATGATGCGACCAAAAAAAGACCCGGCGTTGAGTAGCGAAACAAGATACTGCGATATTTCGACGCCCATGCCACGGGCGTGCGCGTCTTGAACAAGGTAAGAGAGGGGAAGGAGGATGCCTAGAGTTAGAAAGAAGTATGCTATGCCGAATAGAGCATATGGCAATTCCCTTAGCGGCTTCAGAAAGGCAGTTGCTTTGAATGGGCGCTTTGTAGGTTTTACCCTCGACTTAACGCTAAATATGGCGTACGAGAGTAAAGCGAGGATTATAAAGGTGCATGTTCGCATGGCCCATGGGAATCCGATCTTTGGGGCCGTCTTTGAGACGATGATGGGAAAAAGGACGCCTCCGAGAGAAGATCCGGCCGCTGTAATGCCCATCGCCATGCCACGCTTCTTGTCCCACCAGGTCGCAACGCAAGAGATTGCGGCGTTGAAGAGGAGTCCAGCACCGAGTGCAGAGCAGATTCCTTGGGAGAGGATAGTTTGGTAGAATTGTGTACTGATGGATGCCATCATGAGCCCGAAGACATGGAGGAAGGTTCCGACGTAGAGAAGCTGTCGAGGACCGTGGTTGTCGAAGATTGTTCCGGCGACAGGGCTACTGAACAGCATGCAGAACATTTCGGTAGCAGATATCCAGCCGATGGTGCTGTGTGATAGGTCGGGGTATTGGACGCGCTTGTAGTATTCTTGGAAAACTCCAACGCAGCTGTCGGGTGCTTGGTCAGATTTGAGGGTTACGTGGTTATACAGAAAGCTCACTTTATCCATCCCCACGATGTGAAGAAGCATGCAGCGGTGCCCGTTAGGCAAAGCCACGCAAACTTGCCTCCATCTGGGATTGTTTTTTCATCCTCTTGATCTGAGGTACTCTCGGTAGAGTCCTTTTCTGGAGTAACTTCCTTCGTGTCTTGAATTTTGGGTGGTGATGCCATGGTGTACTGATCGTTGGCGTGCTAGATTACTGTCGAATAGTATGATCTCCGTGGCTGCTGGCAAAGCCAAGGATAGTCAGCTTGCAAAGAGGTAGAGAAGAGTCTGAAACTGTAAATAAAGATAAGAACTTATCGATTATATTTTAACTCCTCTTGATTAGCGATACTTGCCCGTCCAAACTCCATGTTAGACAACACGGCTCTCGGCGTTGAAGTGTCTGGAAAGAGCAATTGTCGGACCTATTGGATCGATATCGTACAGAAAAGAAAAGAAGTATGGCAATCTAAACGCCGAATGCTGTGTACTTTCCTGCACAGTCTCTGAGTCGATCTGGAAGGAATCCATCTCGGCCAATTTCACGGTTCAATAGATTGACAACCCATACCGACGGGCTCCAGGAGCAACGTTTGTTGGGTCTCGAAACAAATACGGCATACATTATTGCTCAATGGCGAAGATGAAAGCCTACTAGAGCCCACGATGACTCCTTTCCATGGCCTCCATGCTTCAATAAGGCAGTTTGGGAGGCTGGTGCGATATTGTGGGCCTGTCCCGCATCAGTTGTGGGGAAATCCGCTGCCTTGGTTTGAGATGCATGTCGCCCGTGCGTATCGCCGAAGGCTAGCCATAGAGCGTAATTATAAACACCGACAGTCTCGAGTATAAGCGATGAATACATTCGTCATTATTGTCTGACTTTCAGAATTACCTTATCTTTGCAAACAACATCCCGCAACTCTTATCAGCGCCCTAGGGCGATTCAACTTGGAAAGATATCGCTTAATCTTTGAGAACTCGGTGATAGAAGAGATATGCAGGTATGCTTCGGCGGAGGAATACGTCCAAGCCTTGATACATGCGCAAGCGAGCCTAGAATAATGAAGTCGCATGTAGAAACTAGCAGCTCGCTGCTTTTCTTTGCGAAGGAAACCAAGCCCCCAACCATCCAGGCATCAGAGATATGAATCAGAGTACCTCAGCATGGCGACACAGTATAAAGGAACGTTCTTAATCCAGCACCATGGGTGTTTGTCAATCGAGCATCCAGATTTCAAAAATCTCACTTCTTTGATATTTATCTTTGGTGCGATAGGCTATAATGGCAACTGAACTAGGCACACCCTCCAAATCTGCCATCTGGAAGCATAGAAAATGTCTTATACTCTGCTGCATAGTTGCCTCGGCCAACATGCAATCCGGCTTTGACAGCGCTGCAGTAGGTGCTCTACAGGCCATGCCGGGATTCCTGAAAGTTTTTGGTTACGAGGACCCCAAGAGTCCGATGGGTTATGGAATCGATGTAAGGTCAAACGCCCTTTAACAGTTGTGTGCGTGAGGACTAACGCGATAGGATAGAGCACTGTCCAGCGTCTCATCAGCTCTCTCATAACAGTCGGCAGCTTCGTCTCTTCACTCGCGGCCGGTCTCTTCTCTAGCCATTTTGGACGTCGCCATGCTCTTTGGCTGGCATGTACCTTGAACGCAGCTGCGTGCGCTGTCATGATCGCAGCTACCACGCCAGGTGTTCTCTATCTGGGTCGCCTCTTCCTCGGTTTCGCGAACGGTTTCTTCATGACTTTCTCGTCCATCTATGCTGCTGAAGCTGCGCCGGCTGAGATGCGTGGATTGATTGTGGCTTTGTACGCGTTCTTTGTCAATATGGGTGCCATTCTGGGCTCCGTTATTGATAATGCGACAAAGAGTAGGATGGATAAAGGGAGTTATCAGATACCCATTGCAGCGCTGTTTGTTGTGCCTACATTTCTAGCTGTAGGTTTGATTTGGGTTCCGGAGAGTCCGAGGTGGTTGCTACATCGGGGGAAGGAAAACCAGGCCAGAAGGTCTCTTCAAATACTGAGAGGCGATGCATTGACTTTAGAAGAATTTGAATTAGAGTGGAGAGAGATCGTTCGAGGTGTGGAGGACGAGAAGAGGACCGCAAAAAGCGTGGGACTGTTAGCCATGTTTCGAGGTACACGCGATCAACTCAATTCCCGCAAGGAATTCAAGGAACTGCAGCTAACTCAAGAATTCTAGGTGTTGACCTCCGTCGCACTCTCCTCTGCTACGCTACCATTGCCAGCCAAGCTGGTACCGGTCTCTGGTTTATTGCCGCCTACAGCACGTACTACTTCGCCATCGCTGGTGTCTCCAAGCCATTCGAGTACAGTATCATGATGACCTGTCTTGGATTCGCCGCCTCCATCTGCGGCATGTATGCTTTACATACCTCCGTTGGACGCCGACCTATCCTTATCTACGGTTCTCTTGCGTGTGCCCTCTTCTCTTTGGCGCCAGGCATCGCGCACTCGGTCAGCCCTCATACTCCCATCACGGCCAATGTCGTAGTTGCTTTCACTGTGCTCTTCATGTGTGCGTACAACGCTTCCGTCAGTCCGGCTAGCTACGTCGTTGCTACAGAACTGGTAAATTCTAGATTGAGGGCTTGGACTGTAGGTAGTGCAACAGCGTTGGGTCATATCCTAGCTTGGTTGACAAGCTTTACAACGCCATATTTCATCAACCCAGCAGATCTGAATTGGGTAAGAGTGACGTCAAAACCACTCTGGTTGTATATTGCTAATTGCTTTCTGGAACAGGGTCCTCAATACATGTACATATGGGCTGCATCAAACTTCATCTTCGTTGTATTCTTCTACCTCTTCCTACCAGAGATGAAGAATCGATCACTGGAAGAGCTGGACATTATCTTTGAAGCAAAGATATTGGCAAGGGAATTCAAAGAATACAAAGTTGATATTATAGAGATAAATGGTGTCAATAAAAGGGAGGCAGGGGGTGAAACAGACAAGTCTAGACCTATGGTGACAACAGTTGACAAGGAGAGCTTTTTCAGGGCTAGTATTTAAGTATGGAGAAGTTAGATTAGTACCTTTAGTACCTTTACAGGTTCTTCCTTTGCTGTCACTCAACACTACCTAAACAGACGCTTTGCTTACTCCACTGGTCTCGTTGCTCTGGGAAAAATGTTTCACTCGTTCAGCCCATAGAAATCTAATGAGCGCACGGTTTCCTGGCAAACATGCCATGACTATCCCAACAACTATTTCGAACAAGCTCCAGAGAGTAACATCTACGTAGTCATCTAGATACTTATCAGCTCGATCCTGTGATAGAGTTGGGATTCCATATACATACATGTAGGATTGATGCTTGCAGCAAAGGTAATCAATGATCGAAGTCTTATAATGCTCGCAATGGTTACACTGCCCGGTTGTTAGCTTTATTGTAGAAATACGTTCGTTCAATCGTCAATCTTACAAGACACCAAGAGTAAACATAATCATGATGCCTATCTTTCGTTCCCTAGATATCTGTAGTCTGTATATTTGAGGTAGTGGTAAAGCAATGATAATGATGTCGAAGATGATATTTATCCCCGCATTAGCCCACCCTTGGGCATTGATGTGAGTACATGTACCCTCATGCTCGCCGTCCCATCTGTCCCAGGCGTAGCTGATTGGTTGGCATTCAAAGACGCATGCGAGCACGAGAGCGACGACGGTGACGCAACAGAGAGCAAGGACACTGTACGTCCGTCTTCTAAACTTGCGGTCGGGGAAGATGCGGAGATAGAAGATGAGCAGAGACATTTTTGTCAGCCAAATTGTAAAGATGTAGAGTTTCTCAACCGCCCAAAATTTCTATAAGATCATAGTATAAGTTATCATGACACGAAGGGGAGTGGTAGAGCGGGATCTTACTTTAAGAATCGTTGTTATGCCGTTGAATCGAATCGTCCAGATCTCGTTTCCAAATCCGTCATGGCCAGCTAAATGACGAACCCATATCAGAACCAAAGAGTGACCTGAGAGGCTATGATCCGACAGGTGCAACTTACTCCACAAAATAACGACATTAGCAAGAAAGGCCAGCTGGTTTCCGGCATCAGCACAAGTCAGCAACACAATGAAATCAGACCCTTACCCATGCCAAAACTATCGTCAAATCGTCCATACCAAGTTGACCATTGCAGAATGGCGAGCGAGCGGCGAGTCGTAGTGCCAGACTGGTAAAAGATACTAGCAGCCCGGCAAGCGACGTCGCTTTAAGGATGGCACGTCTGCTCCGCTGTGGGGTTCCGCAAGATGTAAACAGCGTCTTTTGTGTCGCTATCGGAGAACAATTAGAGTCGGGGTTGGAATTTCATGTCAGGATTAGAGGTTTAAAGCATACTTAACCCTTCTCTGATTGTACAATTCGAAAGAACACACTCTGTAACCCTCTGGTTGTAGTGACCGTCATTGCATAAACATAGCATGTTGGTCGGAGGGCAGTATGACAATACAACTTCTGCGACAAGACAGCGCTTCTGTTCAACATCAACGACTATAACATAGGTCGTATAGATGCCAACATACCGCGCATTCGGGTACGAAGGGCAAGATTCTCAACCCATTCGTCGAATTTGCCTTGAACAATATGGCACTCTGGGCGTTCCCACCGATGACAAGGGTAGCCAGAAATCCAGCGAGTGGTAGTATTGCTTTCATGTTTGTATAGGTCTAAGCACTATTCGATAATGTGTTGCGACAAGGAACAAGCATGTAGGAAGAATGTGAGCATTTGCTGGGACTCTTAAATAATGCAAATCGAGTCCAACAACTCTTCATTGTGACATTACCCTACTGCAATACCTTCGCGAGATGCATGCGAATCAGTGAAACTGACAAGAATACGGTGCATCATAATTAACCAAAAGAAATCGGCAGTTCTGTTCGGGACTCAGCAGCAAGTGGTAAGTAATAGGACGGTGCAGTGATAAGGTTAGATGGCTTGCAGAGGCACGGAGAAGGATCAAGAAAGAAGATGCATGCGCGTTGAAACCCTTTAAACTTTGCAGGGGATAATAGCGCTAGGCTGACCTGGATGGGGATATCTACACCTTAAACTGCACAGTTGCATATGTAACTCACTCACAATAAAACCAATTAGAAACAGTAATAGAAGCAAATATGTTGTCGTACTTATCCTTCTTCTATTTCATGTGCACATTGAGTTTGAACATTGGAGTAAGTAGAAATGTTACTTTGAATCTCACCTTGCTGTAGGGCTGTCTAAACGAGGTGTGGTTGGTTACCCAAATCGAGGCAGCCACAGCGGCAAGTCGGACCTCTCAAGTATACAGCTTTGTCGAGGATTGGAATCCATGTCTTGCTCATGCAGACCTTCCAAACCTTGTATACCCTGCCAGGTGTTGCGTGCTGCGGGGTTGAGTACAAGCAACGCAAATACGTCCATGCACCAAGCAGATCCTGCATACACGTCTGTTTCAAGAGATGATGCTCAGAAATTCTGCATGCACGTCTGTTTCAAGAGGTAATTCTCAGAGATTCCACATGCACGCCCGTTTCAAGGGATAATGCTCGGGTAGTCGCAAATTTGTCGAGTCATTCAGACAAAGTCAATCTCTGCTAGATTTCACTGATTGATACAGCCACAAAATTAAGCCTGAAGACTGTCACGGACGCGACATTAAGATCTGTGAATTATGGTTTTGCAAGTGGGTGAAAGACGATTTGGAGAGGCCCGGGCCGCTCCTCCTCCTGGCGTACACCAACAGCGACGAGACGAGTTCATTCGGGTCGTTCGAGACCTCGTTCTTATGCGTCGCCGCGTCCGGCCACTCGTGCTTCATCGCCAGTGCCTTCTTGTAGATCACCCCATTGCTCAACGAGTGAAAACTCTTCCTACTGCAAACGCGCATACGATGGTTCGTATCGACTACAGACCCGGCTTGTCGTTGTATCCTTGCTTGTCGAGAATATCCAGTGAAAGATAGTTGGACATGCCGCACGTGGACGTCTTTCTGATCCTAACATCCTTCGCCGACACGAGCACAGCTGCCAGTCCAAAACTCACCGTCTTGACGCTCATTCCTCGGTGAAAAAGAATGTTCCCCGTCTTGAGGTCGCAGTGCACGATGTTGGGGTGGTGCAAGTACTTAGCCGCGCTGCACAGCTGGAAAAAGAACCTGCGGATCTCGGGCATCGTGCAGGACTTGCGAGATTTGAGAGAGTCGACGAGTGAGCCATTGTGAAATTGTTCCTGAGCGATACAAGTGTTGTCCTCAAACGAGACGGCGCGGTGAAAGGTAACAATGTTCGGATGGTGCAGATTCGAGTGTAAGTGGAGCGTGGATGCACACTATGTACACGAACATACCATGTTAGCATTTCCGTCCTCGAAATGGACTAAGACTCCCCAAGGGCTTCTATGAAAATGGGCCGTCTTATTAATCTTTCTGTATTATGCGCTTGTCATTTTGGTTGTGCACCATGTTGGGAGCGATGATCTTGCCCATCGACTTGCAGCGTGGTGCAGCGTGGTGCAGCGCGGCGCTTTAGCAGATGCTGAAGTCGCTGTTGCCCAGCTTGCGGCCGGGTGAGGTATTGATACTGGCCCTGGGGCTTCTTTGACCCAGCGACGGCGGTTTGTCCAGTAGCACCGACATGCTTTCTGTAGTGAAATTTTCTCGTGTGTAGAAAGGGATGCGTGTCCGCGGCGGTAGGTGTGGTTCCAATGTTTGGGTAGATGCGTGGTGCTGGGCAGTAGTCCATTTAGAGGCATCAAACCTTTATGCGCACCGTCCCGGTATACATAGATTTAAACCCGGTAAGATAACATGGATTCTTTTCGTAATGTAATTTAGAAGATAATTGTATATAAATTTAATCATTCTTGTAGGTTCTTCTTTAATAAAAAACCACTCTTGAGTTTAATACTAGATAGCACCACGACCTACTATACTCAGATCTCTACCTTCGGGCCCTTGTAAGTCTTTCTTGCTCTCAATCCCCACCAAGCTATTGCAATAAATAATACTCCGAAATATACAGCCAAGGACCAATTGAACGTGCTTGCAGATAGATTTGCTACTGGTGGCCAGAATGAAAAGAACCAGCCGATGAAGCTATATATCATCGCAAAAATAGTTATTGGGACTCCAAGCCTCCCCATGCAGAATGGACCCCATGCCATATCTACAGAGGCAGTTGTCAAGCGGCGGTAAAGCATGACGCCTCCAGCAACCATGAAAGCAGAGTAAAATCCGGCAACGGTTAGGCCAGTGAGAGCGTTGAAAGTGACTACAGATCCTAAATTAACAAGAGCAAGACTGAGTGAGATAAAGGCAGTAATGCTGATGGCAAAGATCGGAAGAGATGTATGGTGCTCGACTTGAATCACGCATTAGTACAGAATTGTGCAGCAAAATGGGAGACACGAACTCTGGATATGTAGGTCGACAATGGGACCCCATCCTCGCGAGCAAATGCCCAAAGCATACGGGAAGCGGTTCCGAGTAACCCAATAGAACCGCAGATACCCATAGTCAGGATAATGCAAGTCTATTAATATATGACAGAGCATTAGACAAAATACGCACGAGATATTCATCGGGAATACTAACCAAAAGTGAAGCACCAGTGACTGATTTCGTAACGGAAGCGAACATAGAGACAAATGCGACACCCCCAGGTACATCCATAATGTCTTCAACGCTGCCCATACAGAAGAATACGACAAACAAAGCTGCCCATCCTATTGCTCCGTTGATAAGCACTGTTATGATCAACGCTTGGGGGATGACGACAGCAGCGTTCTCGATTTCTTCGGCCATGTGTGTTGCTCCATCCACACCTAACAACGTTAGCAAGTATGGGACGGGGGTCTTTGTTCAACTGATTGGACCTACCATTGAACATGTACATGATAGTAACGGATCCGACTAAAGCAGATTGAATATTTGTAAGGCCTCCCAAGTTCATGAAGTTGTCAAATACCAACGTCGGCGAGGATTTCGGTGCTAAGTACATCAATACGATCATGATTGCGAAAAATCCCACAACGTGAACGATGAATGCAACTGCCTCAAGCCACAGAAATACTCGCCCAAGGTACGTGTTGATCAACAGGGCGAGTGCAACCACGGCGTAGAAGATTAGTATGCCATGCCAGGCTTTCGTTTCGTAATCGGGATAGTTGATCTGTACCAAGCCCAAAACGATGGTAGAGTTAATCCATGCTACAGATGCACATGCCCCTTGCCATGCTATTACAAGAACTAATCAAGAGGGTCAGTATGTTAACAAGTGGAAGTAGATGCGTAGTGTATACCCCAACCGGTCATGTATGATAAGAAGTTGGACAGGTTCTTTGGCGCAAGGATAGCGACCCAATTGTATTCACCCCCAGACAAAGGTATCCTAACACTAATGAGTACCTAGTTTGAGTCTTCGCGGGGTGAAGAAAAACTCACATTGATGCCATTTCCGCCATGACAAGAACCTGTGATAAAACACCCAAGGTAACGATAGGAAAGGCTGCAAAAGCCCCCGTTGGACCACCGTTGAGTAAGAATGACTGAACAAACACAAAAGACCCCTCCCAAGTGAGCACTATAAGACAATTGTTAGTAGTGTACGCCTTGCTGACTTTGTGCTTAATTACTCAAAGTACAACCCAACCCGAGGCAAGAGATGAGACCGAAGACACGCTATTAGCAGATGAGTAGCTGTGCTGATAATATAAGGAACATTTCACGTCACCTTTAGCTGTTGTTTTTTGCCGAAGTGTGCAAGAACTTGTTCATCACTTCTCATGATCTGGTGTTCGCCCTCGGAAGCTTGATTCTGGCTCTGGTGGTCAGGCAAAGTCTTCGTCATGTCTTGAGAACTTTGCGAGATATCGATAGACCTCATGATGATCATCAAGAAGTTTGTGCTACTTTCAGAGTGCGTGAAGAGAATGTGTAAGAGATGAAGGCTTTACTGAGTTTGGAGTGAAGGTGCCTGGATGGGAACAGTAGACAAGTCATTCAATCTGACTATAAGAACTACAAGTTGAGCGCACACGGACAAACCTCTTCAGTCGGTATACTAGTGCAGCTATTGATTACTGCAGGTGCGGGTAATACCGACGAACATGTGCATCGCCAAGAAACATCACTGCATTCATTGCTGCATTCATTGCTACTCTGCCACCGGATCTCACGTACCATGACAGGGTTCACAAGAAGGCATACCAACAGGGAGACAATAACAACACTTGGTCCTAGAATTCTCGACCTGCTCCGTGTGGCCTTCTATACATTCGTCATCCCTTGCTAGATAAAAGGCCTTTGACTTCCGATCTATTACCAACGCTTTAACAGTAACTTCCTCACACTTAAATCCATCTCATACAACATGTCATCATCAGGTAATAGTATCAATGAGGAGCACTTTGGAGCTGCTGTCGATATTACAGTATGGTTGTGCTTCACTATCACAGGTCTTGCTGTCCTTGCAAAAGTACTAGGAAGAATATGGCGGCGAGATCCGATTCCACTTGGTTCTGATGAGGTCGTGATGTCCATTGCACTTGTAAGTATTTACTCCTAACTGGAGTTGCTTTAGGCATGCTAAATCACGAAGATTGCGGCTTTTGCACAGTCGCTAGTTGTGTCGAGGCAGGTTGCAGCCGGCTTGGGAACCAACCCTAGGCAGATACCAGCGTCGCAGCAAGGATCGTATGAGAAGTTGGGGTACACGTCGCAGTTCCTATACGTGGTTACGATAGGGTCAGCGAAAGTCGCTACGTTCCTTTTCGCTGTGAAGCTCGGTGCATTGCGCCATCTACCAAAAATTACCTACGCTGGAATTTTCATCACTTCCGTGTGGTTCATGTTAGTCCTCTACCTTGCCAGTCTTTGTTAATCATTATCATTCACTGACATTGAAAATAGAACATCTGGGCTACTTGTTGCCTTCCAGTGCCAGGGCCCCTATTACTGGAAGATCTACTCTGGACGATGCATCAGTCAAGTATGATCCCAGCACGAAACAACGACGATAGAATGCTGATACTTTTCAGTCCAGATTCTGGTCCTATGTTGAGGTTTTCAATACCAGTATTGACATCAGCTTTGTCATTGTCCTGAATTTTCTTGTACGTGATATACTGGTTGCACACACAAGATATGTCTTATATGCTGTCTTTTCCCTCCGACTTTTGTAAGCTTTTCTTTCCGACTTAAGTTTACTTTTCTCATTATGCGTTTAGGACTATTCCAGCAATGATCATGCGACTTTTCTATATATATCGACACGACTTCAAGACTGCAAGCCACGAAGAAGCTCGTATTGCTATTGCTACAGCCTTAGCGATGGATGTGAGTGTTTTAGTCACATGTATACCCTTCTTGAAACCGTTTATGGAACAACTACAACCGGGTTGGTCAACAAGCGATATTCGTCGCGGGGTCGGATATGGAGCTTCTCAGGGGAAGCAAAGCAGAAGCATTGTGGTATCATTTTCTGACCGCTTTCCTATGGGCTCAGTAGTGGCATCTAGTGCCAACTGAAATATCCTTCGCAAGCAGAACAGTGTTAATTTACCTGTCTAAGTTGGCCCACTCGAATAGAGGAGGTTGTGATCACTCAACTATACCTAGAAGGAATACATGCGACGGAAAAGACATTTCGCTCATTATTGCACCCTTGATAATAACTTTAGTCTATACTCAACAATTATTATTAAATCGAAAAGATGATCGATGTAATCTAAACCCTATCGCACAATGTTACTTCCGGCGCTATGGATTCTCGTGGAAAACGAATATTAGAAGTCAATGTTAGAAGTCAACGCGCCCCTGCCCGGCCTCCATCGGACTTTGGGAAATGGTCCCTAGAACGTCATTTTCCAGCCACGCCCCGGTAGGGCGACGCAAAGCCTGAGATTGGGGAATAGTCCTTCACGGAGTCCACATTTCTGCATGGAAGACCTGGAATGTAATCTAATTTCGGGGAACTAATAAGGGTCATCACATCCTTCTAGCCAAGAAAGAAGTCATTGTTTCCTCTCGATCACTTGAAAGAGGATTTGAGAGGCCCTGTTGAATATTGGCCACACGTAAGAGCTCTGCACTATTATCGAAATGATCAACCATGTTAAGAAGTCCCTGTCCCTCACATTACTGGCCATACAGTTGTCTAACCGGCCAACGGTTGAACTACGCCGCAATCTTGCAGAGCACTCCGAACGAACCCTCAGTACTACCTGTAATTGTTCGTATTCGTTTGCCTGAATTTGCCTTGCATAGGATGTATCCGGAAGTGAATACGGCTCTCCAGAGCTTGACTCTGATTTGTTTCCTCTGACGTATCGGCATCCTTGTTAACCACGTCCGGGCCTTTGAACAGAGACACGGACTATATTGATTATGCATTGCGCCGGTCCATATCCGTGCTTTTCATATATATTAACATGCAATTGGTCAAGATATGGTGACGTATCCTGCATCGGCAAGTCCGGTCGATTTGGATGCTATCGACTATTTTGTGATTACTTGGCCCCAAATCAAAGGGTAAGAACATCAATTTCAGATATATTTGGTTGTATAGGACTCTTTTGGTCTTTCTACTTGAGTATATCTCTTCTGCGATCTTCATTACATCTAGGAATTAGTACGGACAATGTCTCTTCAGCTGTCTTTAGTTACTCAAGATGAAGACTTTTACAAATTTGCACCCCTAATGTTTGAGGCAATTCATCCTAATGGATTTGTTGACGCTTGTTGGCCCAGGAACTTGGCACCGGAAGCGCAATCGGTCCATGCTAGTGGCTTCATTGCCCACAAAGGTTTTGATCCCACTGTACAATGGGTCAAGGTCACAGATACAGGCACTGGAGACATCATCGGTGTCTCTCAGTGGCTAATCATCAAAGATGAAAAACCCCCAGAATTTGACTTTGATGGGCCGCCTGGTACATGGAAAGACGAAAAAGAAAGGTTATACGCTCAAGACATTTATCGTTCCTTCGTGCGTTATAGGCGGGATGTTCTTCGCAGCAATAACCTGCCTATCGTTGGTAAGAATAGATATATGAGTCCTTCTTTTTCAACTTCAGAAGCTGATAGATATGTCATAGTTCTTAGCATCATGACTGTGCATCCTAACCATCAATTCCGCGGCGCAGGTACTATGATGATGAAGTGGGGTAATGACGTCGCCGACGAGATCAAAGCACTGGTATGTAATCTTTGTGTAGTTGACAAAACTCGGCTTTTTCTAGCGTTAGGTAGTCAATGCTAACCCCGGAAAGTCTGTTGTAGAAGCTACTAATGCGGGTCGCTGGTTATACGAGAAAATGGGTTACGAAACTAAGCACCACTTTGCTGTCGAAGCCTCTGGAGATTCAATTACCGAGGTTGTTCAGAGGCTTTTCTTCATGGTAAGGCCCCGGGCGCTGGACCTGGATGTTGATCATGTTTGAATATTGTGGTGTAGCAGGATAGATGAGGCTATTCGGGGATCACGTGTATGGGGAAAGGCACTAGGCAGGGCATAGAGAGACCGATCAGGGTTGCCGAGAGAGATCGAGGCATCATCCACCAACCTCCCGAGGCCTATCGACAGAGTCAAATATCTACCTTTCCTACCTATTCACCGATTGCGGGTCGTGCCTGTGATGCTCCCTACCAGAGGCGTCTATGCGTGACAATATGGCATGTGATGGATTCTCGGTTTGTACGAGACTCTATAAGTCAAAGGCTGTACTTTTCATTTGAAGATGTCTAGCTACGGCTAATGACCTTGACGAGAAAACGAGACCATAAGTGTTGTGGAAGTCTAGTTTGCACAATAAATTTCAAGCTTAGATTCACCTTATGCACTTCTGCAACACGTAAACCATCAAATGTCAATTGACAAACCGTGAAGAGTATATTCCATAGTCAAACTTGTTCAATATCCAAGCAGTTGGATAACTATCTGTGCTTGGACTGTCAGGTACTATCCGCCTGCCCACCTGCCCACCAGATAACACCATATCAGAAACAATCAGCCACCGACTCAATCGCGTGAACACTCCCCTGGGGACAGTTCAATGCCTCGGCTTCGTTATTATTGTTGTTGACTTCTAGAATATATTAGCAAACTCATGTAGATAGTCAAGATGAACAGGATTACCCTCAATTGGCAACGCGACAGCAAATGTCGCAATGAGAAGGACGAAAACGCCAGTGAAGAAGCGCATGATGCTAGACAGGGCTTGGTATGGTCTTTTTGGTGTAAAGAGGTTCGACGTTTTGGATGTAGAAGGAGGGTGTAGACTTGACGTGGAGCCATATTTTATGAGTGTACCCCAGCCTCATATAGTCGGTTGTTACGGTAGTGTTTCGTATCGCATAGATAGCTATCACCGAAGGAGTATCGAAACTCCGCGGCAAACGATTGCTGGAAGCATTGCAGGGACTAAGTAAGACTCCGATGTTAATAAAAGACATGTATGAATCCTTGGAGATTGGAAATCCTTCGGGAAACAAAAGATTTAACCGCAAAGAAGACTGAGTTGGAGGAAATAGCTTCTGCATTATACTAGGGCAATAGATACACCGCTGCTGACATTGGGTTGCAAGTACCTTCGTATCTCTTGGTTTCTTTCACTAGCACCTGTGCAAACATGCGAAAAGTTCAATCACGTCTTTAAATGTGAAGGTACTCGATAGAATTCGAGCAAATAACCATTCTAAATCCATAGCGTGTGCTATGACCGATATTGATTGCAAAAGTTTTGTAGCTTTCCAAGCCTGTAGTCATTTTCTCATCTACAATGCTTCAGTGTAGGACGTTGAAGTACACGGTGCGTGATTTACAAAAAGGCAAATCGTCCTCAACATGGTCTTGGTAGTCCTTTTGCAAGGATTCGCGGGAAACAGGCTCTGTTCCTTGCCCTGATCTACGGCATGTACATATTCTCCGTCGCGATCAGGGAAATTCATGCTCTTGGCTGGGAGGTTCGGGTAGTGAATCATGTCAGGACCAATACTATTTACATTCATTACGCCTCTGGACAATCTTAGACATAAATATCACAGTCCTTTCATTCGTCTCTCTCGTCCCATAATAACGATGTCGTACAACGAAATCGAGCAAGAATGTCTGCTGGACGGAAAAAGCAGCCACGAAAGCTTGCCTCCAGCTATCCATTTCTCGAATTTATCACATTCACCTATTTTAGCCTATACACTATTGCTGTATGCAAGTATCTGCACCTTATTATTAGCATGGAGCTCTTGGAGCTTGTTCCATTCGAAAGCGATACCGTATTGTATGTCTATCACTTTAGTATCTAGATGAACATAATACTGACCTTCTAACAGCACCGGCGAATCCATTTATCTATAATGAGATACGAAATGTTCATGCCGAAATGGGTACTCTGTTTTCTCAAGAGCCATCGCCAGCTCATAACAAAGCTTGGGAAGATCTACTTGCACGTACGTACACTACAGAGACATCTACAACAAGCCACTGATCATGAAGCCATGCACCTGTGGGCTACAAGGCACGAGCTTGAAGAATCTAACGACAGCCCCGATGATCGCTTGGTTTTAGTCAAGACAGTTCCAGGCGGAGTAGGTAACGGCCGCTGGACCAGCGGGGGCTATCTTGCCACATTAGGCATCTATCATGAACTACACTGTCTTGTAAGTAGATGCTTGTCTTGTTGGACTATGACTTGCCATTGGGCTAACGGCTAGGACAAGAGACGGATTTACTGGCACTTCTACCCAGATGTTTACTTTGTGAACATGACCAGCAACGCAAAAGAGGAAGAGAGAGCACATGCAAGTAAGCAACTAGTTATGGCACCAATTGAAAGGGCTTTACTTACATTTGCAGGACACTGTATTGACACTGTTCGCCAGTCTCTGATGTGTTCTCCAAACCTTGGGCTATACTCATTCAAGTGGATGGGTGACAATGTCAAACCTGCACTAAAAACGGGTGCACGAAGAACATGTGTAAAATTGGATCCTCTTCATGAATGGGCAAACTCTAGAGCTACTGGGTGGAACCCACTGGTGTGGAAACCGAAAAATATAACCAAGTAGAATGGGTGTAGGGCTACAATCATGGGCAGCTGGCACATGTCCAGCAATGCGCGACCGCTTGCATCCTATCCATACATAGGTGACCCCGTGTACCTTATCTCAGTCTCGGAATTCTATCTTACTGCATACGTCACGCATGCACGTTCATTGTGTACTATACACATAACACAACTGATGCCAAGAGTAGTTCCCTCCATTGCAGGACTGTCGAAATACATTTCGCTGCGGATCTTTTTCCCATGAAGATCCCATTTCTGCACCTTCTTAATTAGTACTCAGACCCGATGCGCGGGATTTATATCATACAAACAGCAGACGTGAGGCACAGTATGCGGGGTTACCCGTATTAATTGTCCAGCTTACGAGATGTCTCAGTCCGGCCAGTGGTGGTTGCGCGAACAACCTGTCTTGACCGTGACGCAAATCTAGTTGAACTATTAATCCTTTAGGGATCTACATTTCCCTCATGTCTCCCTCTTCAGTTTCCCTCATTTCTCTCTCTTCAGTATAATACAATTCTACAATAATCTTCTTCTATGATAGCCATGAATTACGAGATACTACCAATTGTTAAAGGGGACTTTAAATACTTCATTCCTCCTTTGTTCAGGTCCATGGGTTTTGCCCACTTTGTTGCGACTCTATGGCCTGACAACCAAACTGACCAAGGCCAGCAACGTGCAATTGAACGATTCATGGCAGAGATGTAAGAGTCAAAGCATATGAACTGCCAAATGCCGTTAATCGCCAACATAGGGACGATCATCCCGGGATCAGGTGGATCAAAGCCGTGGATAGCACAGCCGCCGAAGCAGACGGTAGCCCCAAGATTGTGGGAATTGCACAGTGGGCTATTTTCGAGGCCGACAAAACCTACCATGAGGTCCCTCACTACGCCCCCGGTGATCTCTGGCCCAATAAACTAGAGAAGGACTATGCAATCCATCTGTGGGAAAGCTATATTCAACCGAGGCGGGCGGTACTCCGGAAAGAGAATCTTCCGGTTGTCAGTAAGCAACTCTTGTTGGCCAAGCCTTCCCACGATGATTTACCTAACGTCCCTCAGACTTGCAAATTTTGTGCGTGTGGCCTGAGTATCGGAAACATGGTGCTGGAGGCCAGCTCGTAGATTGGGGCAATAGATTAGCTGACGAAATGAATGCCCAATGCATCGTGGAGGCGTCGGGAATGGGCCAGCCACTTTACGAGAAATTCGGGTATGAAGTGAAAGAACAAGTCGGACTCAAGGATGATGCAAGATTCAATGATAGAATGTATGGTAAAATCCACATCTTTATGGCGAGACTGAGGCGAGAACCTATCTAAATATTGACTACCACTCCATCGGTTGTCGTCTGTCTCGCATATCTACGCATGGGTTGGCAGACCTTGAGAGGTGGCACAATAAAAAGCGGCACAATTATTTCGAGGCGTAGCATCTGCTGTGCCCCCGAAGACTCGATAGACATCATTGCTCCAACTTATCTTATATAGCATAAGCAGAATACTGAACATAAAGGAAGTGAAGAGGTAGGCCTTCTCTGCAAATCTTGAAACGCGATTTTACTTCTAAATTATCAATTTTTGCGTTCGATAAACTAAGTAAGACTACCAACTACACCGTGACACACGCGGGACTAAATTTACTACTCTCTTTACCATTCTCTTCGACTCATCGTTACTCTAAATTCGACCAATTTTCGGCAATCCCCTTTTTTTTGTTGCTAAATATGGCATCGCGCAATTCCTGCCCCAGGATTGTTGAGTTAGCCACTCGAATAAGTAGCTCGGTTGCTCAGTTGCACGAACATCTCTCAGCGCAGGGCGTGGTGACCCCATCCTTTGCCGAGGACAACCCAGAAAACCTCCCCGCTAATGTTGCCCATCTTCAAGATGCTATCCTAGACGCAACTGCTGAGCTACATGAACTACTTCTGGATCCCCTTGCCCTGATCTCTAAGTTTGCTGCGGTATGAATTTCTCACATCTGAGTGACAAATTTTATGAACTGATAACCCCAGATCTCGAACCTAGTCAGCATTGATGCACTCTGTCGTTATGAAATTCCAAGCATGATACCCTCGGGCAGTCAAATAACGTTTGATGAGATATCTAAAAGAACTGGCCTTGAGAAGTCGGTTGTCAGGCGCCTTCTTCGGCATGCGATGTCTATGCGTATCTTTAGCGAGCCGGAGCCTGAGGTAGTAGTACATACAAAGATATCTAAGTTTCTCATGGTCCAGCACATTAATAGCTGGGTCAAGTTTGAGAGTATGGAAACTTGGCCGGCAACTACCAGGGTAAGTTGAAGTCTACGCTACACCGACTCAAAAGAAATGTGCTGACCTGTTTCGTTGGCACAGATCGTAGATGCGATTCAAAAATGGCCAAACTCCGAAGAAATCAATGAGACTGTTAGTTTTCTTCATGGACTTCTTGCCAACGCTAGTCTGTTTGATGCAATTACAGTCCTTGCTAATCTGCACAGGGTTTCTCGCTGTCCAACAACAACAAATCGGTTCAGCAGATCGTTTCTTCAGATCCTGAGCGAGCAATGCGCTTTTTATCTGGAATGCAAACCATAAATTATGTTCCAGGTTACGCCATCGAAAACGTTTCCGAGGCCTATGATTGGAAATCCCTAGGAGATGCGTGCATCGTTCATGTTGGTGGATCTCGAGGTGAAGTCGCCATAGACCTGGCGAAAAAGTTTAAAAATATCAAGCTAGTTGTCCAAGATTCGCAAAGTATCATCCAAGGCGCAAAAGAACAGGTCCCCGAGGAATTGAAAAGTCGCATCGACTTCATGGCTCATGAAACGTTCGAAACTCAGACGCTGAAGGCACATGTCTATTTTTTCCGCATGATATTCCGCAATTTGGGTGATAAGAACGCCGTCCAAGTCCTGAAGGCACTGATCCCGGTCCTCCAACCTGGAGTACAGATACTCATCCAGGATGTATGTATGCCAGAGCCAGGAGTTCTTCCATTATGGAGAGATCGAGCTTCCAGGTAAGACATTTCATTGGGCACAAGAAGCTAAGCGCTTGCTAACGAATAATTTTCAGGTCAGTAGATCTAGCTCTAAAATGCTTCTCCAATGGTCGTGAAAGATACCTAGACGAATGGAAAGCTCTCCTCAGTTCAGCAGATGATAGATTTGCTCTTCATAGGGTATATGTGCCCAAAGAGTCCCTGTTGGGTATCTTGGAGGTTCATTGGGATGTGTCTGGTGTTGGAGAAGACTGAACGAATATCAGCTGTGAAATGAAAGATCACAGATTCTAATTGGCTCGGTAATCTCAAATTGATTCAGAACCTTGCTGATTCGATTTCCTAGTTCGGCGTGTTTCTTTTCTTGCTTAAATCATGCCTGTAGACATTCTAGTCATATGAAATGTGAGTCACCGTTTACTCGAGGGTGAAGGCCATAACAGCCTATACCTCAACAACGATTATAAGTGAGTCAATATAAGGCGACATACCTTTCGTCGCGGCCGGCCTCAGAGATGAAATGTCCCATCCCCTTCAATTCAGATGGGATCTTATACGTGATTGCTTCGTCGGACAGGGCACAATGTCTTTTAGCATCCTTAGTGTTAACGCTTTCATCTCCTCTGGTGAAGGTTTCAAAAGGCAGGTCATCGACTATACAATATTTGCGTGCTGCATTTCCCGCTAGAATTTGTCGGCCCACACACCCGACGATATTGTGTACCATATATTACTTCTTGAAGTAGTCCTATTTATAGCGACTAAACGGTCAGTGTATGTTGCCTTCACTAATACTAGCGTAGAAGTAGTTAGTCGAACACTTCCATTTCAAAGTCGTCAGTGAAATCACCATGCTGACAATTTTAATCCAAGTCACAGAAACTCCAGCCGATCAAGTAGCATACGGTGTTGATGCGCATCTGGCGGAAATTAATGCAACTAAGTAGAGGTAAAGTCAACGACTGTATGCAGATGCATATTGCCTTACCCAGCCATAAGCACAATACTTCTAGGAATCGAAGGGTGAACAAACGAACCGGTTAACATTGCTACGCACTCTATCCGACAACATCATCTCATCGCTACTTAAGAATAGACATGTAGCAGACTGACATCGTGAGATAATATACTACAGTAACTTATAGATCCCAAACATGTTTCGATCGCAACGATCGATGAAACCCGACAACGGTACTGCGCTGCAACAGCAACGCAACCTGGCTTAGACGATCCTACATCAGGTTGCAGCCGAAGGATGTTATGCCTGCAATATTTATATTAGCCTAGGCCGCTATATTACCATTTAACTCAACGGCGTATCTTGCGCTACATCTAGACTGCACTGAATTTTCATTTCGCTGATGTCGTTTGCCTTCTCGTTAATCTGAATAGAGGGCGAGGCTTGGGAGAGTTTGCGCAATCTGTGACACTTAAGATCCGTAGATCCACTTCAGGCAAGCTGACCTCTTCGCAAAGAATCCGTTGCCATAATGCGAAGTTTCACTCTTCTCTCTGCTTTGATCGCGGCCTCCCAGGCCCAAATGACTTGGCCCATCCACGGTTGTCCTTGGGTCACAGAAACAACTTTGATCACCAACTTTACACTATTCCACAGCGCTTCTATCGACAGCGATCCGGACTATGTATCGTGGCAAGTCCCGGCCTACGACATGATATGTACCCTCACCAGCCAATCCAATACCGGCAAAGTAACACCAATCGGCAAGCCAAAAACTACGACTGTTGTACCATGCAATTTGTATAAAGATGAATCCGCAGCATCTAGGTTTTACGTTTCAGAGGACGAAGGGTCTGGTAGTAATGCGACAATCCGATTCGTATACTATGCTCAGTGTGCGGCAAGCCGGTATGCCATCTACTACGAGGCAGGATTTCCACAATCATGTGTTGAGGGAGAGAAGGGTGTTACCTGTGTCCCAAGTGGAAATACCACAGCTTGGGCTGTCCAACAGTATTGGCTTGCTCCTATAGGAGGCATGCCACCCCCACCACCCGCATCCGGTCCGGGTTCGGGAGTACCGCCAAAGCCAACATATGCAGTTTGAGATGGTCTTTCTGGCCAATGAATGCTTACAATGTTTTCAATCTTATATGATGAAATTCGTTTGAACAAGTTTCAAAGACTACAAGAGAGGCAAAATGAATGTTCTGATGGTTTATAGTAGTTCTGTTTCAATACTTGTTTTTGCTGTATATCAGCTGGAAATCTTGCGCGTACTTGTAGATGGCAATACAACGATAATCAACTACATATAGGTAATAGAAATCAGAACATTGTGAGAATATATACCATGTATCAAAATATTCAAGTAACACGCTCCCCATTTCGGAGCAAATTCATCTTCTCCAGCTTGCATGTCTTCCCTTCAGGGATGCAGCACTACGATAGGGGGTTCGCAACTGAGGAGCTGAGCAAGCTCCCCCTTTCCGGAAGGAAGCTTTCCTCTGTGCCACTGACCTGGATCAAAACGTTGGAGAGAATTACGAGGTTTACTAGAGGGAGGGTAGTGAATGAGAGCGGTAGGCTGCAGCTACCACCGTAAAGCACGAAATTGAATCAGCGGCAAAGAGAACACCAAATTCACCATGTATATTCTGATGATGGGGCATATCGGTATTCGGACATTCGAAAAGCACCATCTTCGCAGTCCTGCTACAGTCCATACATAACCTGTTGTTCGTAGCACCAGGCAGCAGCATGCACTGATACGAGCAGCCTGTAGGATGGGCCTCACAATCGATATCAAGCGGTCGGTATGACTGACAGCCGAACAATTTGCGTCAGTAAGCGGATTGCCGGTCAACCGCAATCAAATTTGGCCGGTGAGAGTGACAGAAACGCAAGCTGGAAAAGTGTGCAATACCGCACTCGCAACAGCTGGCATTCAAGTGGGAAATCAACCGAGAGATGTAGCGCCAGCGACGCCACACCCTGCAAGACTTGAGGCGTCGAGAACTATTTTGCTGACGTAGAATCTCCTGGCCATGCTATGGGACCGGAAATGAAGAAACTGCGAACGACCCATCAGGAGAGGCGCCGAAAGCGGAATTTAGCCATCGCAGCAGTACTATCAATTGTATCGTAGCATAATGCGGGTCGGGAGAAGGTAGGGTGGTGCATTATCGGACCAAGCAATTGCGCGACTGTGTTGTAGGGTCGGGCAAACAAAGCATTATAACAGCCTTTAAATTGCCGGTAAACAGAAGAGGCCAAGACAAGGCGCTGTTCGCTTGGGCGAAAGCCGAGCGTCGCCTATGCGTATTTCCATCTCAATGGATCTCTGTAAAAGACATGTCTTAGAGAACCAGATTCGTTCTCCTGTGGTCTTTACATTCTTAAAAAGACTTAGCTAGATGGGAGATGCACGTGTAGCAGCATACCTTCAGAACACACAGCAACATCTAGTTACTGTCTCAAATTCTTGGAATCATCACTTGTTTGCAAGTTACTTGCTTACCAATGTGTGCACACATGTAGGTGATGTAAATCAAACTGTATAGAAACTCTTAGCAAAAAGCGAACATTCATTCAGGTAAAAGTAATGGAAGAGGGAGTCAGATTGTATAATCTACTGCGTTCTTTGCGGAGCAATAAGACTAACCCAGAGAAAATCATGAACGCGCCTCTTGGCAACCAGAAGATTATCACAACGACCTTGTCTTTTAGTTCAAAACTCCAAGTCACCTACAAACTTGGCGTTGAATTGTGCACAGGACCGGCGTCGTAGAGTAGGTCTGACAACGTCGCATAAAGCATCGTGACCTGAGGCATATTTCAAGGCAGATTCTTTTATACCTCAGCAACGGGGTTTACAGGAAATTAACCGAGAGTTATTATGCATGTCACCTTCTTCACCGACTCCGACAAATGCAGTGAGCCTTGGATATAGACACCCAGTTTTGTATGAACTGTATGAAACTGCCTACGTGAACAGTAATTCCAAAGTTGAATGGAATACATATAAAAGGCAAAGGATCGCACGGATTGAAAAGATACTGTGTAGATTATTCAAACCTAAACAACAATCCATCGATAATAAGATTGTTTCTTTCAAACAACGATTTCGAGAAAATGCTCTTCATTTCCAACGCCGTTCTCTTGCTGTCCTCTCTGGCACCTCTGGTTTCTCAGGTAAAATGCACACCCATATTCGTAGCATATGTATGGTATTGGATACATGGATCTGACTACTTGCTTGATAGGCTGCAGTAGTAAATCCCTTCTCTGGATATACGGTTGTTTCTCCCAAGTGGAGGGTTGAGCTATCACCCGGACAATTCGAAATATTCAATGGCACAATGGAGGAAGCGATCACCCAGGCCAAAGTGATCAATCCAGATTTCGAAGTCGCGACTGAGAAGCGTGATTTCCTTATGGATCGCGACGTTGCATTGGGCCGCCGCAGCAACGTGATATGCGGTCAACAACCGTCAAATGCCCTGAAGTCCCGTATTGAACAGAATATTGCTGAGCTCAGGACCCGAGGCGCAAATGTGTTGGCTTACCTTGGGGGTCGACAGTGCACTCGTCTGCTGTGTACGTCGGGTTCGGCCAATCACTTCTGCAACGATGTAAGTTAGTCATGTTATCAAGAAATACAAACTCCCGGTACTAAAAAATGCCTCGTGTAGAATGCAAGTCCTATAGCAATAACATGGAAAGATATTGCAGACAGTATTCAGCATGGCATAAACTCCTGCGCTGCAACTATCGATTGGTTCTCGGCTCATAACTTCCAAGACGGAGGTTGGACCACATTATCCCGTGGCGACGACTGTTAGGTGAGAAGTGTTTTGAACGTCACGGACAGCCTTGATGGGACAGCCTTGATGGAAGCTTATGTCCTTATTTCCACCTGGCTTAGCCAGCTTCACACTACGCAAGTAGGTCTGTACCTAGCTTTTATAGTAATTCACTTTTCACTTACAGTATTGGATTTTTTGATTTGAGCCTATAATCTTAACAAACTTGATTAAACTTGTACCTTCAACCAGAGATCTAGAACTGTAGCCTTGCGAGGTTGCTCGTTGTAAGATAGCATGATATACTATAGCTTGGTAGCTGACAATTCTGTACGCTCATTTTGTTGCAGCACTCCCTGATTGAAGATCACTTGAAAAGCTACTTTAGGGAAAGTATCACTGAACACTGTAATACCGCGATGAAACGTCAAAGCATACTAGAGAACTGGAATAGTATCATTCAAAATAGCGATGGCGTTTAAAAAAAACATATCAATAACCAGGGAATCAACTACGGCAGTGCCATTTCCTACTTCTAGTTCAAGAAGACCCAGCATCGGAGGGGTCCTGTGCAACTCTGTCGCTAGAACGCGCATACGCCTATGTTCCATTTGCAGGTTGTTTGTATTCAACCCCATCTATAGTTGTTGTCAGTGTTCCGTTTGCGTTAAAGATGTTGAGTACTGCGTCGATTTCGAGATGGAAGCCCCCAAGACCTGTCTTCTTCGTTGCGTTGACTGCACCAGATTGTACTAGATCAGAGTACCAATCAATTTTGTTATTCCAGACATTTGGGTATAGAATTGTCCTTGTGACGTTCTCCCATCCATCAATGAAGTGCTTCCCGTCATCGGAGAAGTTGGTATAGTCGACAGCTACCGTGTCAATTCCCCCGTCTCCGATTAGTTGAACGGTTGCGACCCCGCTGAATTTACCTTTCAGAGTGTAGTTACCGGGCTGAATTGAATTGGAAGATGATTCTGGAGGTACACTGCCTGGCGGGAAAGGTGTCGCCCAAGGAAGCTTGTCGGGCACATCGAATGGTTCTGGTGGGGTTTTTGGTGACCGGCTAGTAAGTTTTGCAAGCATGAGACGAAATTCGGGATGTCCTGGCGACGATGAGACTGGGCATGGTAGTGGATTTGCACCTCCACATGCAGGCGAGACTACAAGTGCTTGCCAGTACACGATTTTAGTCCCGTCGTGGGAAAATGCTGGATCAGCTCTTCCGTTCCAGTTGGGGTCGTTCACAGCGCCGTCACTCCCGTCGCCTGCAGCATTAACCTGTTGGCCGAAGTAGTTACCTCGATCCCCGTACCGATCGATAAGAATAGGCTGGAAGAAACGTCGCATGCCATTGTTACGGGTAGATGAGGCCACAGTAATAGTGACTACATCAATCAACGGCGGCACGTATCGCATACCCGACATCCACATCTGTCGATCCGATCCGCGAGTATCCATAGCGACGAACCATTGGTTATCATGAGAAAATGCGACAGGATCAACATATTCCGGATGACTTGTCAGCCGCCTAACTGCACCAGTGATAACGTGGACAGCATATACGTCGATGTTGTTAGCCTCACGCGAAGGGCCAATGTACAAGATCTCGTCGCCGACGCCCGAAAATCCTCGAAGCTCTCCAACAGAGATTGCATCATCATGAAACGAAAGATCCTTGTCGTCCGCACTCAGGTACTTTTGCCGGTTTGGGTCGAAGAGTAGATTTACGTCAACCAGGTCGTAGCGAGGGACTCTTGGCTCACCCACTTGAGGGTCTGCGTTGAACTCCAGCCTCCCAAAGTAACAATTCTGGCCTCCTGTGGCGGTAAATGAGCTGAACCCAAGATGGCGGTCGTCGGGATGAAGGCGCAATTCACGTGGCGCGCCTCCCCTTCCAGAGCCGTCAGCTGCGGTATTCCAATGGATCGGATAGATGTGTGTCTTCTCGGGGGTACAGTCATCACTGCTCAGTTGATGGCCCCCACAATCCAGAACGCTGGGATCACCGTTAGTATTTGACCTTATTTGGTGAGTGAGAAGGGAAACGTACTTGTGACCCCACAGCGCCTTGTCACCACTGCGGAATACATGAGGATAATCCTTCTGCTCGTCGAGAGACCTTGCATTCTCTGGAGGAACAGCACAACTCAAACACTTCCAGTGATCGCCGTTGGTAAAGTTGGTTCCATCTGCTTTGACAAGAATGACTTGTTCGCCGGTGTAGATACTCGCCGGATCTGGCGCTCCGGGGGCTCCAACAAATGCAACATTGACAATGACATGATTACCATCAGGTGTGAAATCACCAGCTTGGAATTCGTGGTCTCCCATCTCTCTACGAATGCATCCTGTCCCGCGAGGATTGACATCAGACGTGCAGGCTCCTGTTGCATCGCTTGGGGCGATTGGTGGCAGACGAAGCTCGACCACTTCTATAGGCTCTGGACTGGGGGCAGATGGGACTGTTTGAGAAGAGACGGTGCCGACATATAAAGCGAAAAGAGAAGCTGCCAAATGCATGATCGCGAGTAGAGCGAGAGGGGCCTGGAGAGAGAATGTTCGTCTAATGGACAGAAGGGCTCTGTTATATAGACGTTTTTTGATCCCTCCGAATGCTAAATCTGCTGGACTCTATTCTTCTGCTTTTATGTGAAGTTACAAAATGCCAACGATGGAAGCATTAGGCGGGGGAAATGTTGGGGCCCCATGTTTCGTCCTCATTGAGTAAGCTCCCGTACATGCTCGACTAATAGACAGGGGGCATATAAACATAATCACAGTAAAAGGAAAGAGATAGCCCGAATAACATGCATCATAGGAGTCATAGTCCCCGGTATTACAACTATTTGTAGGCTATGGAGCGTACCGCGTGATGTACACCTTTCGGACCTAACTATGAGTGACCACTCTAGGCTCTCTTCCCCGCAATACGCTGGGTACCTACTCAGTGCGGAAACGTTTCTGAAAATAGTGATTGTATGAACTTTTTGTTTGAAGAATCGTTCCTTGACATTATTGACTTCCTCAAGGTGTTAAGTTATAGGACATCTATGAAAACACATCGTGAATCATCATTACCAAAGTTGAATGCGAAAGAAAGCAACATGTATGTACGTGTATAGCCAAATTGGGATATCCATGAGCGAACGGTAATTAGTCAGTTTCCAGGAACTTGGTTTGCTGTCCGATTCCATGATTGGCTCTGTGTCCTGAAAGTCGGGCAAGATCATAGCCTAGTACAAGGTACCTAGTGAAATTGGGAAGTGACAGGGTTTAACGTATTCCGTATGCACGAGCCACGTAGATCCAAAGTAGTAAAGGTTGGAACGACTATGCACATGCCATAACTACCTACACCACACCGACTGGCTTGCACTCATTGTCAATTATACATAGCTACCTAAATAGGCTGTAAAACTCTATTTCTTAGCTTAGTCTAATTCAAATACCGCGGCGATTGAAGTACTGAGCTACTTGCTAAAGAGACCTCCTCAGAGCTTTGCCTAGTGCAGCGGGATTGTTCCTTCCGAATGAGTTATTGTCTTCACAGAAGAAAGCGTGACGGGTTCGATCGCTTGCAGTTTCGGACGGGTTGAGATATACCGAGAAAATTCATGTGTCAGTATCACACGTATTCCTTCATGGACGAGGATAATGCTCCGTTTCCAAGACGATTTCAACGTAGAGATTTATACACAATCATGTGGCAGTTCTTAGCAGCCACAACGTCTTGGAACAGCGTAATTATTTTCACGGTATACGTTAGACTTGAAATGTCCATGTATCGTTGAATGGGGCATGAATGGAGTAAAAACCTGATCTAGAATTCGCGAATGCCGGGATTGAAGTCTGAAAGCAATGATCGTAAATGAAGAGCCTCGTGTTCATTACTTAGAACTGAATAGAGATATGTGAGAAACTAAGCAGATCTACCCCGTCTTGTCTTGAGACTACGTTTGAGATACCACGCCGAGTTCTTTGGGGTTCTCTTGAGTGTATCGAAATCAATATGAACAATCCCGTACCTCGGTCCGTAACCTGCGGCCCATTCGTAATTATCTAAGAAGCTCCATACGTACCATCCCTCGACCTTGACGCCATCTTCATTGATTGCACGGGATATTGAATCAAGATACAGTCCAACATATCTCTGTCGGAACTGATCATTGACAGCGACTTCAACATCTTTCTCACCAATGCAAGGGCATCCATTTTCTGTAACAATTATTGGCAACCGATACCGCTTCCATACCCAGTTGAGAAGTTTGCGAAAGCCCTCCGGTGCTACACGAAGCCACTGCGCAGCAGAAGGCGGACCAATCTCCACGCCTTCGCTGTTGATCGCCGACTCCTCGACGTTGCTGGTCCAATCATCGTACGCCGGAGGATCTGTCAGTTGGCGTGCATATTTGGTAGAGTAGTGATTCATGCCATAGAAGGCGTTGATCTTGCAAGTACGGCGGAGTAGTTCGCGTTCTTCGGCGCTGAAACCAGGCAGTCGATCGCCGAGATACTCTCGCATTGCGGCCGGGTAGTCTTGTCCCAAGAAAACGGGGTCGCCAAACCATCCGATATAGAATTCCATTCTTCTTTGGGCGGCATCAATGTCTTGTTGACTATTAGCGTCGTGTGGTTCGTAGAAATGGCCGTTGAGAACAATTGAAATCGAGCCCTTCTGTAATGGCTGGAATGTCGATGCATACATCTCTACAACGGAGGCGTGCGATAGGATGATAGTATGTCCCACTCGCCAGGGCTCTGTTTTTGTATCTGTACCTTTCTCTCGACAGTGGCCAGGGGCGAGCGTACCATTAAGATGTGCAAAGATGGAGGTTATGTACGGCTCGTTAAACGTAATCCATTTCTTAACTCGATCACCAAAACGGGTGAAACAAAGGTGGGCGTAGTGTTTGAAGTCTGCTTCAAATTCTGTTGTGTTCAAGAATGCGCCGTATCGATCGTAGATGCGCTGAGGAGTATCCCAATGATACAAAGTCACAACCGGTTCGATGTTGCGCTCAATGAGTTTGTTGATGAGAGAATCGTAGAAAGCGATGCCCTTTTCGTTAATGGGGTCATTGCGACCCCCGAGAGGAATAATGCGCGACCAAGAGATGGAAAATCGGTAAACATCGACATCGAACTGCGACATCAAGTCGACATCCTCCAACATCAGCTCGTAGTGATTGCAGGTAACATCAGCATTCTCTCCATTCGTCCGCGATGGCTCAAGATGGGAATACGTATCCCAGATAGAATCGCCTTTTCCGTCCCGGAACGCACCTCCTTCGACTTGGTATGCTGCTGTCGCAGTACCCCAGGCGAATTCAGACGGAAGAGGCAGTTCTTGGACGGGCAAGTCTTGGCCGGTGGTCTTGCTGTAGGCAGTAATAAGGTCTTCTGCACCAAACATCCTCGCCTCGGAATTGACTGGTGGAGGAACCGACGACATGGTGGATGTTTTGCTGCTGGGGATTGAAGGATCCTAGCAGTTCCGAGTCAGCTCATGACAGGAAGAAGAGTGCAAAGACAGGCTTGAAGTATCAGGAAGATGCATCAGTTCGGTCTAATCTTCCTCCATGTTACCACCCCGCCAGCTCCACTTTCTTTCTCCTTTGTCAGTTGCATGGCTCAATGTGCCCCACTCTCTATCAGGAAGTCGAAAATTGCGGGCTTAGTCTACTGTGGAGCACTGATGTCAATAGTGAATGTAAAGAGACTGGATCCACTCGGCTCGAGGAGAGGTGACCAGCGGAGTGACACTAGCGCTATTGCAGCCCCCCCAAAACCTTGTCGCGTTCCGCATCGATTGACCCCGACATCTAGGTACCAAATCCCTGTCTTGAGCTAACACTCCATCAATACTGGTCCAGTAGTCGAATTAACACGAGCCGTAGAGGACGCACATTGACCTTAGTCAAGCTTCAACTGTTCTAATCCACCGTGACTAACTTAGACCCAGGTTCAAATCCATGCTTGCCTGCTAGATCGAGGCTTTTACAGTAATGTAGTAGTCATTGTAGTTGATAAAACTGGCAAGTGCTTTCTTCCTGTCTCTTCTTCTCTGCACATACCTTCTATTTCTATATCCAAATTTCCTGTACGCGGCCACCAGCAGCAATGGCGACCATCCTCGACCTACGCTTGGAGCACTACGACCCTTCGCATGTACTCGGCATTCATGAATGCAGGCCTCGGCTGTCTTGGAAATTCACAAATATTGCCAATGAATTCCGACAACATGCTTACGAGATCGAAATTGTAGCGCAAGACAGGAAAGGCGAATTCATTGGAAACGCTATTAAAGTCACGTCACCCCTCTCAAATCTAGTACCGTGGCCGTTTGAACCTGATCTCCAGTCTTGCCAAAAGGTGGTGCTTCGAGTTCGTGCATGGGATGCGAATGGTCATAATACTGCTTGGAGTGCACCGTTAACATTTGAAACGGGCTTCCTTAAACGCAGCGATTGGCATTGTGAACGTATCACCGCTCCTTGGGCCCCTAGCACGATAGGACCCGACTCCGAGCACCTCTATCGCAAAGAATTCCCCATCACGGGAGTTGTGAGGCAGGCTAGGCTATACATCACAGCTCAAGGTGTGTACGAGGCGGAGATCAACGGTCAACGAGTCGGTGACTACTTTCTGGCGCCAGGGTGGACAGCATATGAGGGACGGATCCAATATCAGACCTATGACGTAACTCCACTCCTCCGCTACGATTGCAAAAACTGTATCGGTGTCCGTGTGGCGGAGGGCTGGTTCTGTGGGCGCATTGGATTTGGAGGCGGACATCGCAACATTTGGGGACCTTGTCCGGCCTTGATGGTGCAGCTGGAGATTGAATTCAGCGACAGCTCTGCTCAAAGTCTCTCCTCAGATTCATCTTGGACAGTGACCAAAGGACCAATTCGTCTAGCAGAAATATATGATGGTGAGAAATACGATGCGACCCAAGAGACCCTCCATTGGTCCTCTCCTTCCAATGAAGAGACACCATTGAATGGTGAATGGGTGGATGTTCTATCTTTACCGCCCCTACCCGAATCCACTGTCCTCACTGCCGGGTTTGGAGGTCCAGTCCGACGCATCGAAACCCTTCCACCTCTCGCCATCTCTCAAAGCCCATCCGGAAAAACGATCGTCGACTTTGGCCAAAACCTCGTGGGATATGTAAGGCTCCGGAACATCAAAGGCGCACACGGCCACAAGATTACCTTGCAACATGCAGAGGTTCTTGAGCATGGAGAGTTGTGTACACGTCCATTACGTGACTGTAAGGCTCTCGATGAGTATACGCTCAACGGCAAGAAAGAAGGAGAGAATTATGAACCACGCTTCACTTTCCACGGATTCAGATACGCTCAGGTTGATGGGTGGATTGGCGAATTGGATATGACGTCTATTGAGGCTGTAGTATGTCATACTGAAATGGCCAGTGCAGGCAACTTTGAGTGTTCCGACCCATTGCTCAATAAGCTGTACGAGAACATCCGCTGGGGAATGCGGGGGAACTTCCTCTCGGTACCGACTGATTGCCCTCAGCGCGATGAGCGGCTTGGATGGTCCGGTGATCTCGCTTTGTTTGCACCGACAGCAGTACTGATCTATGATTGCTTCTCTATGTTGAAAAATTGGCTGATCGACGTCGAGTACGACCAAGGCGTGCTTGGAGGCGTGCCTCCGATGGTGAGCCCAAATGCTACACTTCCCGATCCTGTTTGGTGCAGGCGAGTCCCTTGTGCAATTTGGCACGACGTTACAATACTTGCACCTTGGGCCATGTACCAAGAAACCGGAGACGAAGCTATACTGGCGCAACAGTACCAGAGTATGTTTACCTGGATGTCAGTTCTGCCAAGGAACAAGACCGGTGCAACGCACTTGTGGGACGATTCCATCTTTCAGCTAGGTGTAAGTTCTGCGCAATACAGTCCAGGCGATTCTTGCAAGTTGACATGTGTATTAGGACTGGGTTGATCCTGCAGCTCCGCCAGACGCCCCTTGGAAGTCTCCTACCGATGCAAAAATGATAGCGAACATGTTTCTAATCCAGAGCTTAGAGCTGATGAGTCGTATCTCTAAGATTCTCTCTAAAGAAGACGAAGAGAAACACTTTCGCGCGGAAGCTGACGCTGCGCGAATAGAGTTTCACGACGAGTATGTCACTACTAATGGTCGCATAACTTCCGATACGCAAGCTGCATACGCTCTGGCAATCTGCCTTGACATCTTATCCCCAGCTCAACAGGTGCGAGCTGGTGCGAGACTGGTCGAGTTGGTACGGAAAAACAACTTCAAAATCGCTACCGGATTTGCAGGAACTCCGTTCATTTGCGAGGCGTTACTGCTTACGGGTAATACTCAAGTCGCGTACGCCATGTTAATCGAGAAACAGTGCCCATCCTGGCTCTATGCAGTGACGATGGGCGCAACTACTGTGTGGGAAAGATGGGATAGCATGTTACCAGATGGAACTGTGAACCCGGGAGAAATGACTTCTTTCAATCACTACGCATATGGAGCTGTTGCTAAGTTTCTTCACGAGAGAGTAGCCGGCCTACAGCGTCTGGAGCCCGGCTGGAAGAAATGCAGATTTGCACCTTCAATTGGGGGTACTTTTAGTCATGCTTCTTCATCGCACGTCACTCCTCGTGGGAAGATCTCTTGCTCATGGGAGACAAGAGTGACTGCATCGGAAGGAATTGAGACAATCCTCTTGAAGGTCTCAGTGCCTTACGACACTGTCGTGGAGGTTGTCATCCCAGAGAAAGGCAGGGAAAGAACGGAGACTGTTGGGCCAGGCGAATGGTCCTTTCGATCAAAATTCACACGGGGTGGAGGTTGGCCTGTCGAGCCGTTGAAGCCGAAATCTTAGATATGCATCAAGTCTTCGTTCGTGCCTAAATTCCCAAGTCCTCAGCCCGTCCAGTATCTGCAGGTTTGAATTGCTAGAAATAACACATGAAGTTTTGTCATCACATAGAATGCCTACTTGAAAGTGCTTCACAATCTTCTCTAGTGCTATAAACTGAGTTTGATTCGTGTACATGCAATCAGGCACTATCGATCACAGTCGGGGACTTCTGCCGACTAGACTGACCAAGGGCGACGCCACTAATGGAGCATCAACCAGGTCTGTATAATACAGGGCCCAGATCATGCATCTCTTGCATCCGTATTCAGTCTTCGGGAACTCGCCTTTTGTTACCCCGAGCATGGGACTTAGCTTCATCCTCAATGAAGGAACGAGGACAATTCGTAGAACATCCATCGGCACGACGTGTTCGGACACGGTACCGACCAGGTTACGATACATGAGGCCTGGATCAAGTCTACCATACATCGGCATTTGGAATCTTGTGGATTCGCTGAATGTTTGCTCCGAATGCGAGATCTTCGCTCCACATTTGCTCAGACACCTGGTCGCTGTTCGCGATTCAATTGATAGATCTGGGGAGGGTTAAAGTTGAGGAATGGCCCGTGCACCAAGGCGGCGCTGAAGCGGAAAACTAGGGTGTTAAAGGCGGAAAACTAGGATCGCCATCTGGGGTCGAGTACGGTGAATACGGTCGGGTATTGAACTTGAGCACTACTGCATGCATTTTGGAGGACGTGCTACCAATAGACCCCTGAGCAGATGAGTGAGTGCTGAAAACGAAAACTGCACACAATTTTGTACCAAGCTCTTCACAAGTCCAAAATACCATTGGGAGCTGCGTCGCATGGCTCTTCGTGACAGACTGATTCTTATTTTTTAAAATGGTTCTATACTTCTTGATTCTATCAAGCATACATCTTAATGATGTTGAGTAAGGTCTATAGCTTTGACATAGGTAGAATCTCAATGTCTGCGCTGTTTTAGCACCGCGTAGCATGGTTCTAGCCTTGATGGGTTGTTATGTTGCTTGTACAGGGAGCTGAAAATGGGGAATGCCCCAGACGCACCCCGCAATTCCCATCCAACTAGTGTCCATCTTGATCTAACCGTGCGAAGTCTGTTGTCTCGGTTCTGGGGTCACGTCCGTCCTTCGATGTTCACGGGAGAGTCTAGGTTGTAAATGGTGGCGCCTGTGTGACCTGATCGTTCGCATTATTTCACTCCGAAGAAGTTATCGCCGACTATATAAGAAAGTTCAGGTCTATAATTTTGTCCATCACTCAGACATTATTTCGTTTCCCTTGCGGATAGGTTCTCTGACATTGTACGCCATGCAAGTCAACAGTGCATCCCAGCAGACTGAGAAGTCTTCCCAATCCATCCAGCATGTTGAACAACAAGCCAGCTATGCCGAAGCCAAAGACATTCTTAGCGATGCAGCCGCGAAGGGACAGGCCTTGTCTGGGTACGAATCATTGACTCGTTGGGAGACAGTGAAGACTTTCAAGATTGCGACCTTGGTCTGTTTTGCCGCTGCGTTCAGTGCTGCTACCGACGGATATCAGATCGGGTATGTGAGGCCGTCATCTCGAGTATACATGTACTGACTGTTTGGAAGCATGAATGCTAGTATCGTTGCCAACAAGGGATTCGTCCTCGAATTTGCCACCAAAACGAACGCCAAAGGTCAGCTCTTCCTGGAGTCACCCATTCTAAGCGGTTGGAGTTCAATCCAGTCTGTTGGTCAAATCATCGGTATGACAACTCTGCCGTTCATTTCAAGTCGATGGGGCAGGAAGATCTCAATGTATACATACTGGTTTATCCTCGCCATGAGCGTTCTCGCGGAAAGTCTGGCTCGAAGGTGGGAGATTTGGCTTCTTGCCAAACTGCTAGCCGGAATTGGTGTTGGATGCCTCCAGTCCACCTTGCCGACATATATTGCAGAGGTAGCACCAGTCAAGATCCGCGGCGGCCTGTTGATGTGCTATAGCTTCTGGTGGACTGTCGGTTCGTTCTTCGCCTATGTTGCACTCCAGACAATGGCCAAGAAGCACCCATATATCTGGCTTCACCCAATCTACACACAATGGGCGCAGATTGGAATAATGTTAGGAATCTACATCTTCCTTCCGGAGTCCCCAGCATGGTGTGTAACAGTGAACCAAATGGAGAGGGCGAAGAAGGAATTGCTCCGCATGAATGGCAAGGTTGAAGGCTACAACGTGGATCAACAGCTCCAGGTATTAGTCCTTGCCATCGATCATGTAAGTTGAGTCCTCGTGAAAAATGAACGCAATGACAATTCTTAACCTCTCATTCGACGTTTAGGAGCGAACCGTAGCAGCAGAACAGCGCCAAGAAAAGTGGTACGCCATTTTCCGGGGTACTGATGGTCGTAGAACACTCACTGCACTTTGGACCAACATGTCCCAGCAATTCATCGGTCTCACGCTCTTCGGAACCTTTGGAACCTATTTCTTCCAACAGGCAGGACTAGCAGATCCGTTCAAGATCAAACTGATTACATCCTCGCTAAACATTGCAACTGTTATAATCATTATTTTCATTTCTGACCGGTTAGGCCGACGATGGATTGCGTGTTGTGCAACTACCCTTTGCTGGGCAGCTTGCACATGCATCGGAATTCTAGGCGTCACGAAAAAAGTCAGGGCAACCGATTATCTGTTCGTGCTCTTTGCTTGCTTGTGGAGTAAGTTGATTACTCTAGCTACTCAACTCTTACAGCCCGCATACTGACCAAGTGGCAGATATCGGCATGACCTCTAATGGAGCGGCGGGATGGGGTTTCATTGGCGAAATCTCTTCGCAGCGCCTTCGACCATATACTGCAGGTTTTGGTGCCGCAGCCACCTGTGTAGTTGGCGTCGTCATGAACGTTCTTGTTCCATACATGACCAATGCAAATGCGTGGAACTGGGGATACAAGACGGGTTGGTTCTATGCTGGTGTTGGTCTTCCATGCGTCATTGGTTGCTGGCTCTTGATTCCAGAAACTGCTGGGTATGTGCCGGATTGCAATCTCAATTTTTGATCAAAGAGAAGATAACTAATACTTGGCGCAGACGCTCGGCAGCCGAGCTAGACGAACTTTTCGAGCGGAAGATCAAGCCATGGCGTTTTGCGAAGACAGAGACTGCGACACAACGGGTTGTCAATATGGAGAAGGAGTACTGATCGGGGTGGACATGTGCGAACTCTACTGAGCGGGAGCGAAGAAGACCAGGAATATGATGGTGAGCAGGTCACTAGTTCATCGGTAATACTATTAGCAGTACTATTGGCCTCTTTGTACAAGCACAAGTAGTCTCTCTACAATTAGTTCTAACCTGGCTGAACAATACCTACGCGAGATCCCAATAATAGCAACATAATTGCGCTACAACGGTAGAAGCCGTGATCTTACTATGCAAGTTTCCGCTTAAAAATCTCTTCAATAGTTTTCACATTCTATCCTTTCTCTGTCAAATTGTTGCAGTATTTGTTCCATTACTGGAACCTTCTCGCAGATCGCGGTGCTGCTAGAGATCTCCGTCTGTCTTCCTATCGTCGTTGCGGTCAAGGGCTTGGGCCGGCCGGAATATGCCACCGGAGAAAATATCTGGGATTGTGCAAGCGAAGGACACGACTGCTCAATGAAAGCCATGACTAGCTAAACATAGTAATTGTAAATCTCGCACATCGTAAGAATCTTAATGACAGTGTCAATTGTGTACTTTGCTCGGATGTAAAAGAGTTCCGCAACACCGCATGTTCTCTCTAAGAGGAAACTAGGCGACGGTGGCATTGCTGTCTTGGGATTGGAACCAGCCGTGCCAGCCTCGTGTTGAGTCGCATCGGCCTCATTGCGATAACGATAATGTTGGCAATGTCGGATCGGAAGAGCAGGATCCACACTCCAGAAAAATTACTTGTTTTCTCTAACAACAATGTGTAACTAGTATTATTGAGAAAGTATTGAGTATTAATCTTGGATCAAGAACCAGTTACGTAAGGTCCTTCTTCCAGAGCCAGATCAGGCTATGATAGGGTCCAGTAGTCTATGACATTGACACTCAATATTGCAACGTCTACCATAAATAAGTCCACGACCCTTCAGGCGTTCTAGAGATTCGAATATAAACAGCAGTCAAGATGGATCATTGGAAATGTCGTCCGACCCTCTAATGTACATGTATGTACATGCATACAAGGGTCCTATCTGGTAAGCAGTGGCCGATGAATAAGCATGCATAAACCGGGGCGGTGTGGAGTCTTTGCAGCACCCAAGAACAAATCACCAAGTATCTTTGAAGCTATCAACCAAGATGCCGTTCAGATGCATTCTGCCAACGCCACCTTTTTGCTCGGTTACGATGATTACGAAGACAGAAATTGCAGCCGTAACCATCTACCCATGACTTGGGTTCACCAGCCTCGGGTAGAGATTTTACTGTCATTGAGGACAAAACATTCTTAAAGATTAATCACCACCTTCAAGTCTGTTTTCAGACGCTCTACAACCCAGATTGTACACCCACAAAGGCTACAATACGAGTGACGCAAGCAGTAGCGCAAGCTCTGTCCATCAGGTTCAACCTCTAGGAATCTGTATACCTCTGTTCATCATGCTGTTTTCCGATGTTAGGTGGGGTACTCAAATCGCCACAATGTAAGTCATTGCAAGCGTAACGTTCGCGCATACATCACGAACTGATCTCGTATACAGCATCCTCATATGCTTCCAGTGTGTAGCGATATGGTCAACGGTTCCGCTTACAATTCGTATGTTCGCTACTATCCGCGATAAACGAAGCCTCTACTTCCGCGCCACGCTGGCCTCGTCATGGGGGCTCTCTCTGCGCTCACAGGCCTACCTTATGGGATACTACAATCGCTCGATCCCATGGTGGATCTACGGCACGCTTTCACAAATTGGCTGGATACTTATGGTCTCCGGATTTGCGCTCGTGCTGTGGAGCCGTCTTGGTCTTTTATTCGCCAACGAACGGGTGAAGAAGTATCTGCTCTATCTTATCATATTCAATGGCATCGTATGGCACACGATCCTGACTGTGTTCGCGATGATTATGTGGGACCAGCGTGGTCCGATTTTCGCTGCACGGCCGACTGCCCTTTACAAGAGAGTTCGGGATGTTAACGAGATATTCGAGTATGTCCAGATCTGCTTCTTCAACAGTCAGGAAATTCTCATCTCCTCAATCTACATCTACGCCGCCTACGTTTACTTGCGCGATTTCTCTCATCTCGGCTCACCTAGCACTCGCGCCAAGGTCCGCAAGGCCATCGTTCTGCTTCTGATTATTCAGGCGATCGTGGTATTCATCGATGCGGCAGTCATCACAATTGACCTACTCGGCTTATCGCAATTGAAGGGGATGATCAACTCCTTCATCTATTGCGTGAAACTGGAACTCGAGTTCTTGGTTTTGAATCAGCTAATTGAGATTTCGAGGATGGGTGTACCAGGGTTGCCATCAAGTTCGCCGCGAAACGGGGGATTGGATCTCGAGGTACCTGACATTGCTGAAGCACCTATTGCACCCACTGGTCCATCTGAAAGGACCAGAGGCCGTGGCGAGGGAGAAAACGAGAGGGACGACGCGCATGCAAGGTTTGGCAATGGATTGAAGGAACAGGGAGTTTCAATCGCGCAGCCAATCTCGCCGTCCAGCAGTGAATCTGATTCGTCGGGGAGAAAAACAGCATCCTACTCCATCGTCAGAAGCGAAGGTAGCTGATCATTAGGCGATTGGAATAATCTTTCAGATAGTCTATAATTACGAACGTGACGAAGAACTTCTAACCCTATTGACTTATGCGTCTTTCTGTGCACAATTTTATTATGTTGAACAACACAGTCTGATGTAGTCTCTGTTACGTACTCGTCGGACTTAGAATTAAGGATCAGGCAACACACTCGCGGCTTGGTAGATCGGCTGTCTTCGCCGCACTAATGCTTAACCGGTGTCGGATTGAGCATTTTCAATATTACACCATCAGAAGCAAATCCGACTTGGGAATCCATTCGTTTGCCTTTTTATGATTTCACGGACTTCATGGTCAACGGATCTTTTTGAGGGACGGCCCGCCTGCGGCACAGCGCATTAGATGACTAAACTGCTACAGATATGACGATAGTGAATATCCATCCTGGTATTTGATAATGGGGCGATCGAGCATTAGTTCCATATACTACACAATAATCACGCCGTCTTATCACTCCTTGCAAGCAGTGATGATCGCGGGTTCCGCATTACAGGTTTTGCTATACAATCACACTTAAAACTCGAAAGTACAGCGTGGAGAAACCGCGGTATTGAGAAATAGGCTTGGGCAAGTGTAGTCTCTTACTTTGGAGGCTTGCATCACCCAGTCTTTATACATTATCAGATGATTGGTATTTACCACGGGAATCACGGCTACTTCCACATTTGACCGAAAGCTGACGGCTATCTAACCAAGCATCTAAAGTAAACGAAACCAAAAACAGAAGGTATCTTGCAACAGCAGCAATCGATATACTTCTTTGCATGAACCTTCTGAGCTTGGCTTTCTATCCCCAGTAGATTGGCTAAGAGGATGAAGAGCCCGGCAACTTTCATGCCATTGCCAATCCGTGTACCTCCTTTGCCACTGCCACAGAGACCATTTTATGCAAAGATTACCAGTGTCCAAGGTGTAAATTACTTCGCCGTCTCTAGATATATGGACTGAGTGACAGGTACAATATATGTGCTAGCCTGTAAATGTCTGGTCAAAATTAAAGTCATGCGGCCTGCATGTATTGGACACCGAGCTTGTTGACCGAGTCTTCCTCGAAAAGATTTTACCCTGACCAGTTATGAATGTAGTATTGAAATATCAAGATCCATAATCAGAAGGCGACAACAGCCGTGCGACATAAAGGATTGGTAGGGTTCATTGGTCGGTAGATAATGGTCCTTGACACAGGTGTGACTAATGTAAAGTCAATGAAGGGGGTCAAGTCCCTCCTCCCCCCCTTCCCTAACAACCTTTTCAAGGCAGTCTTGTCTCACGAAGGACTTTTCAGGGGTGTTTAGCCGCTTTGGTATGTATTTACTCTGGTGAAGTGATTGAGTCGATCTTCCAATAGTCAATTGGTCTCTCGGTCTCCGCGATGAACTCTGCATCAGTCAACCACGCCCCATAGGAATACAAGTCTTAGTACACCACATCAAAATCCTGCTGCACTAATCTTAGGGTCAGCGATAATGCAGCTAAAGAATTCGTCTCGAGGAAATATTTCAAGGCCACACACTACTCTCGTCATGGACCCAACAGTCTCTATGAGCGTTTCGAACTATTCCACGTTGCCTTCGTCCAGCGGCGGCCTTAAAATTATTGTTTTTACAACCGTATTCTGGGCAGTGGCAGTCATTGCTATTATTTTAAGGGTCTGGTGTCGTTCTCTCAAGGGCAGGTCCCTAGTTTTCAACGACTATGCTGTGCTTGTAGCATTCGTTTTCACATCAGGACTGTCGGCAATTCTAATCACATGTAAGTCTTCATTCTCACCTGCCAACTGTTTCGTACGTCAGGTCAAAATGCTAATCATTAATTTCCCTTAGCGGTCGTGTGGGCAGGTGCTGGTCACCATGTGGTGGATATCTCACCACAATACCGCAATCGAATATTTATTCTCTTTGCTGCAGGTCAGTCGTCGTGGGCGGCCTCGAATACCTTTGTCAAGCTCTCCATCCTACACTTCTACACTGTTATATTCCCAAGTCGAAAATTTCGCATCATTTGCATCGCGGCAATGGTAATCTCGGGTTTATACTTCACTTCTGTTCTGCTTGAGACCTTCTTATTGTGCACTCCAGTGCAATACAATTGGGACAAAACAATCTCTGGGACTTGCAGTCCACACAGTCAGATCGCATACATCATTGCTGGAGCCACGAACTTAGTCATCGATGTCTTCATTGTTTTGCTACCCATGCCGATACTCTGGAAATTGCAAATATCATGGACCAAAAAACTTCTTGTCATGGCTATGTTTAGCTTGGGCGCTGTGTAAGTCTCGATCCACTGCTTAACTCTACCAAATTCATTCCACAGCAGTTGCTGATCAGTGCAATGTAGCATTTGCATAATCTCTCTCCTACGTGTGATAAACGTTGCTAAACTTGATCTTACCGACTTTACCTACGCCTGCATCAATCTCTCAATCTGGGCGATACTCGAGCCTACGCTTGGTATTGTCAATGCATGTCTTCCTGTATTTCGTCCTATTGCATCTTCTGTCTCCGAGTCACGCATTTTTTCAAGGGCTAAGTCTTCATTCTGGAGCAGGACGGGTTGGAGTACAGGGGACACGAAAGTCAGCGTCGGCTCTGCGTCCAAAAGTACAAAGTTTAAGAGGCTAGCAGATCCGATAGATCAGCTGTATCAGCTAGATACTATTCATCTTGTAAGGAACGAGAGCAGAGAAAGGTTCTCATCAAAATGATGTTAGTAAAGCATGATAGTAATGGGAGACTGTGGCCTGAGACGGGTCTTCGTTGCTGCCACAAAATTCGTTTTCCAAGTTCTTCTACAGAAGTAGCGTTCAATCTCTACTCCGGATACTTGTGCCTATAAGATGCGTCATCCTGTAGGAACCTATAGTATGGCTCGCTTCGGTCTGTCGTATGCCAATGTTCATTACAAGCAAGTGATTATATTGGACTGTTCCAAACTAGATAATGCAATATCAATTGACTATAATTTCAAGGGCACAACTGCGGCGAGAGCCTACCCGTGCCACCCCTGCTGTATAGTTACTTCTGCCAGCCCAGGTGGAGTACCCCGACCCTAGGGTTTTGGCTTGGATATCACTACTCGCTGAACACATCTGTACGCGCATGAATAACACCCTCATCACACCAAATATAGCCTTTTGCGATTCTATTTGGTGGAAATTAGGGGTCTGCCTATCTGGAGGCAAACGGACGTCCCCGAGGCAAGCATTTGCCTAAACGACACTTCACCGCTTAATGAGGCACAGCGGAACTGTTCTGCCGTTGTAATGGAACCGGAACTATTAAGAGGGTCGAGTAAGAATTACACTCTTTCATGATAACAAAATTCCAATGCATATTTGTTGCTCACCTACTACAGCTCTTTTCACATTACTCGCTACTATGTCGACTGCAGGCCCAGTAACTCCCGTCTATGACTACATAATCATTGGGGGTGGCACTGCCGGCCTTGTCCTTGCCAACCGTCTATCTGAGAACAGCGACATTACTGTCGCAGTCATTGAAGCCGGTGGAGACGCGAGTGCGGATCCTCGTTCTGTTGTTCCAGGGTTGTTCATAGGTGCGCTGGGAAGTGAACTGGACTGGAATCTCGCGTCGGTACCCCAGGTACGATACTAGCTCATTCAGAATTATGAAACAAACGAATGGGTCATGTTAACTGATAGCCTGAATTGCCAGGCCGGACTCAATGACCGACGTATTGGGCATAATCAAGGCAAAGCACTCGGTGGAAGTTCAAGCATAAATGCCCAAGCCCTGATTCCCTTCAGCGCTACCGATATCAACGTCTGGGAGTCTTTCATTGGGAACACAGGCTGGAATTATGGATCACTCTCACCATACCTTCAGAAAGCCTTCAGCATTGTCCTCCCTGATGAGCCTACCGTGACACATTTGAACATTTCATGGGTAACATCTTGGTATGTTCTCTTCCTTTGTGTGTGTCTTCTACCCTTTTCCATCTTCTGCATTGTACAAGTACCAGGGCAGATACAGCATATTAACTACGAACGTTGCGCAGGGCTTCCAAAGCTGTAGGCCCCCTGGCCTCCTCCTTCGTGGACATTAATGAAAATCCAATACCAAAGGCCTGGATCGACACTTTGACAGCTCTCGGACACCCTCTCACTGCATCTCCGTTCTCGGGCAGGTCAACGGGACCATATATTGCACCCTCCACTGTCGTATCCAGCTCAAAGACTCGATCCTCTTCTGCAACAGCATACTACCTGCCGGTAGCCAACCGAAAGAATTTAAAGGTTATCACTAGGGCCACTGTAAACAAGATCATCTTAGAGAAAAAAGCAGCCCTCCAAACTGCAACAGGAGTTATGTACGCAATCGGCGGAGACACCAAAACACTCAACGCAAGGAAAGAGGTTATACTTTGTGCGGGTGCATTGAACTCACCAAAGATTCTTGAATTGAGCGGTATTGGTGATCCGGACGTTCTTCAAGCTGCTGGTGTCCCTCTGCTATTGGAGAACAAATACATCGGCACGAATCTGCAGGACCATCTCCTGTGTCCGATAAGCTTCGAAGCCATTGATGGATTTCCTACTGGCGATGATTTGCTAAGGGGAGATCCAGAAGCAATTGCAACAGCCCAGAAGCAATATGCTGAGACTCAGTCAGGTCCCTTTTCAAGTAGTGGAGTGACCGAATTTTCGTTCCTGCCAACTGTGGATTTCAAGAGCGATACAGGAGCTCTATCGGATCTATTGAAGTTGCTTGAAACGACGAACATGACCCACCCGCTCGACGCAGCAAGGATCAAACATCTCTCAGACCTCCTTATTGAAGGCCAGGAGGGGACTGCGCAGTACTTTCTCTTCCTTGCCCAAAGTGCCGCAGCTGGTGAGGATACAACGCATGGGGTAGTTCCGCATCCGCAGCCTGGTAATTTCATCACTCCTGTTGTCGCACTTTCCCATCCATTATCCACGGGCACTGTCCACATATCATCATCGGACGCCGGCATTCCGCCCGTCATAGATCACAAATATCTTTCCAATCCAATAGACCTTGAACTTCATGCCCGCCATGTTCGGTACATTGAGGATATTGCGCAGACCGGTCCTTTGTCATCATTCCTCAAGCCAGATGGGCGACGCAACGACCCACTTGCATTCATCGATGGAAGTTTGGAAAAGGCAAAAACCTACGTCAAGGCGGCATCGGATACAAATTGGCACTCGGTAGGCACATTAGCAATGGCTCCTAAGAACAAAGGGGGGGTTGTCGACACAGACCTGAGAGTATATGGCGTCTCAGGGTTGAGGGTAGTCGATGCGAGTGTAATTCCACTGATGCCGCAGAGTAATACGCAGAGTCTTGTGTATTCAATTGCGGAGCGAGCAGCTGATCTGATTAGGCAATGTTAGTCTTTCTAACATGGGAATTACTTTCCATTTACATAGTCAATAGGATGATGTACCTGGGAAAATATTTCTAAGAGAAAGGTTTTCTGGCAGCCTGATGTACTGTATTGATAGTAAGCACGAGGATGTATTTGATCTTACTTCAAAGTACTGTCATGTATGGACCAATCATTACTCGCCAAGCGTGTGTCTGCCTTGCTGTTTTGATTTCACTTTTTCTTGCTGATTGGGTGTGAGCAGGCAAGACAAGTTGGAGTGCCATGGCTGTGCAAATAGCTGAATGTAGCTTGGTAGGAGATAGAACGAAGAATACTTCTAATCACACAGCTGTAAGTATCCAACTGTTAAATCTTTTTCGTACGTTATACTGTAGTTTATAATTTGCCTTCGTTGGGTTGCGCGGAAGCATAACACAGCAAGGCCTTACTGGCTTTATGCGAAGCTTGTACTCTCCAGTTTGATCTTCAAGCCGATCGTCAGCCACCAAGGTGATGTTCATCTCCACCTAATAGCCAGGAGGAACGCATCGTGCTTCTACCAAACAAGCCTCGATGATGGCTGCATCCAGAATCCAGTCAGTTGCAGCTGTGTGCATATGAAATTCAATGACTGAGTTGTACTGTGACGTTCGGGGCTGAAACCCAGCCACATTCTCACGTGCAAGGCTCTCTCCTTGTATCTTGATACCACAGTAGCGCAGCCTTGTCGCAGGACTTTGTCCACCTTTTGAGGGCTCAAGAAGATCGATGTTCTTCAATTAAATCCTCCCGTCTTCTATTTCAGATCACATACTACTCTTGATTCAAGATGGCATCGTCGGGAATACCGCTTTTCACGTCAGACAAGTCAAACATCGCTCGTGCTCTTCATCCCTACTTTCCTGATGACCAAGCAGTGAGGAAGACATGGCGCCCAGTCTCTTTCAGCAAGGTTGCCTTTCTCATCACGATATTCCTATTCACTGGCTTTCTCGCCAGTACTATTGCACTTCATCTAAAGTATGAACGCTCCGGCGCAATCATGTTTGCTTCGGACGGGAGATCCATCTCTGACGCACAGAACTTCTTGTATCTATATCTCCCAATAATTCTAGTCACGGCCTTAGGAATCTGGATCTCAGTCCTTGATCTTGACATCAAGCGCCTGGATCCTTGGTGTCGCCTTTCTGGAAATGACGGTGACTCCGCATCGACCCTCTTCTGCCAATACGATACCGCTTTCATACTTGTTGTGATATACCAGGCAGTGCGTGCCCAGTAAGATAATTAGCCCTCCCATTCATTTACACCAATTGACATGACTAGGCACTGGATTGTGGCCAGTTCGTCGGTCCTGATGATCACAGCAGTTATTGTCATTCCTGCACTTCAGAATTCACTTTTTACCACGACTACCAAATCAATCTCTCAAAAATCTCTTGTTGGGGTACCGTATGGAATTGTTAACGCCTCAGTCCAGACACGAACTATGAGCAATAGCTTTCTAATCACTGCGTATTCGATTGCTTGGCTTGGGCAAAGTGACCCTCCCTTTTCCACGGCATCCAATGTACTAACCCCCTTCGATCACCCATCTATCAAAAGTGCTCTGCAGGATTCTGTTGCTTCTACATCCTTGACCAGGTTTTGGTCGGAGGTCGATTGCTGGAAGCCTCAGGCCGTGATTAGGAATAAAACAGGCAAGGAAATCTCCTTCGACGATGGGAGAGGCTGTCGACTGAACAGCGTTTTTAGCGACGACGTTCATTGGAATACATCGGTGTCACAGGTCTCGGCTCTACACATCCCGGTCAACTCTCCCGGGTTTACACTCATTGGAGACATCGATATGTCTAAGAACATATCATCAATGTGTCCCGAATATCCAAACCGCTTTCTGTCCGTTTGGTGGATAGCTGGATCGACCCCCGACTTCAGCAACCGTGGTAACGGAACCGCCCTGTTTTGCGATGTGAGCTTTTACAGACAACCGGTAGTGGCCAAAATCTTTCTCTCGAACGATAGCGTCGATTCAATCCATGCCATGGGTCCCAAAATGCTCCTTTCGCAAGAGGAATTCAACAGTACGCATTTTCAGAACATAACTGTCGGAGGCAGACCACCAAACGCGTACAGCATGCAGGGAAACAATCAACAAGTGATGATTAATATTGACGAGGCAAGCGAAATAGACAACGGGCGGCGAACATGGTACTTGAATTATAGTACCCCGGTGTACCCTTCGTTGCCATCAGGCTTCATGGTTGACTGGTTGGTTACATTGACGCAACTACCGATTCACGAATACCTCAACTCTTCAAATCTCGCAACATCTTATGATCAAACGTACCAGCAGCTCTTTGCTTTAGCCATGGGTCATAATTTCGCACCACAGTCAGAGACCCAGCTAGAAGTCGAGATTGAGGGATTACAGAAAGTCGTTACATTAGTACCTGCTTTCGCGTACACCATAGAAGCGCTGTTTTTGATTGCGTTGATTCTTTGCCTTTTCTTGGCTTGGCAAGTTATTCCCAGACGGTTGCTTCTAGTTCGAAATCCAGATTCTTTGGCTCAAGTCATGGATCTTGCTCGTTCTGCAACTGTGCAGAGCAAGTTCAGAGCTTACAGCAGTTCGACTGAGCGGGAGATGAAGAAAGGGCTACAAAATGACAAGTTCAGGCTTGCAATGTCAACAGATGGCCGTCCGGTTTTGTGCAAGTTCAACCCTCGATTGCACATCCAGCCATCTCAATGCAACAGGAAGGTTCAGCCTTCGTCTATTGCCAAACCCGTACTAGAGTTGTCGTGGAAAGCTACATTTTTGGCCTTATCGTTGATCACCTCATTCACGGTCCTTTTATACGTGCTGAATAGTCAAGCAGAGAAAAATAATGGTATTTCCTTGCCTAAAGGAGGTACGTTTACTGTTCAGCTTGCGCTTAGTTTTGCACCCACAATCTTTGCGACTCTTCTTGGAGTCTACATCAATGCCGTCTGTCGAGCAACTTCATTTTTGAAGCCTATGGAGCATCTTAAGAGAGGACACGCTAAAGCCAAAAGTACACTCCTTGCCAACTTCACCTCACTCCCTCCAACAGTCTTATTTGCGAGAGCTTTCCGAGCCAGACAATATTTTCTTACACTGCTGAGTCTCTTGGCCCTTCTGTCCAATGTCCTCACTGTTTCCATGGCCGGCATCTTCGTCCAATATGATGAAGTCATAGTAAAAGGTACATCCGTTGTACAATTAAAAGAGCCGTTCCTAGACCCCGCGACACCTCAATCACTGGTATTGGAGCTCTATCAAGATTCGATTTTCACAGTCGCTGCGAACGCGTCGGGGCTTACAAAGTTGCCAACCTGGACAACGACGGAGTATGGTTATCTTCCTGTCGACCTGGGCTCTCTTAACCGCAGCACGCAGGATCAACAAATAGGGTTCCAGAGTGTTGGATACGGTGCGGATTTAGACTGTGTCAACTTTCTAGACATTTATCCAAACCAAAGCGCACATTTCGAGTTCTCGGAAAATTATACAAATCTCGCATTCAGCTTCTGTTATGGTTGGCCAAGTGGGGAATCTGCATCTTGCGATTCTTCCATGCGCCAGTCGTCCTATTTGAACAATATTTCAAATATACCAGTTAACGTTGTCTCATCTTACGAACTACAAACAGCCGTAACACGACCAAATGGACCGAATGACCAGCCGATTTGGAACGGGCAGGAGAACGAGCAGCAAATTATTTTAGGGTGGCTTCGCGGTAGGTGGGCGGCAAACACAACACCAACTCTAGAAGCTCTGGATCCACAGTCAATCCAAGGGAGAACCTTTGAGTACAATGCTACGGTGATAGCATGTCGGCCACGACTCAAAACCCAGAGATCTGTTATACGGGCTGATATGGAGGGAAATATAATTTCCGCAAGGCACTTGGGACCCCCGGATTACAATACCAGCTCTAGCATGAATCTAACCAACTCACTCCGAGCCACCATCAGCGGTACGACGCGAGGTTTCACCGCCAACGCTAAAGGATGGCATGCCAACATCATCGCTCAAGACTGGCCAAACTACCTCTACAAAACCATACTCAACGGGACCGGTATTGTGGATCCCGCCAACCCTGTACCGTCTGTTGAATTTGCGAGCAAAATTGCTTCACAGACATTTGGTCGTCAATTCGTTGCCCAGCTGTTCCTGGATCGCCAGTATCTCAAAAACGCCGATACCAAGTCCAGCGACGGAATGCAAAGCGCGAACCTCTACCGCTCTGTTCGCCGCTTCCGTCTCTCCACCCCCATGTACATTATCACTCAAGTCATACTCACCCTCGATCTCATCGTTCTCTTGATTAACCGGTTTTTATTGTCAAAGCCATTCCTGCCGCGGCAACCGTCTACCATTGCATCGCAGATTGCCTTTTCGGCTGCGTCGCATGTTATTGACGATGTTGCCGCAGCGGTCAAGGGCGCTCGGGGCGATCCAGGGCTCGAAGTATTGGATACCCAATTGGGGTACCGATTTGGGTATGGTAAATTTGTTGGCAAGGATGGGAGGTCGCATGTAGGCATTGAGCGAGACCCCTTCGTACAGAAACTGGATTGAATGAGAATGCAAGAATTTACTTCTGGAGTTTAGCAGTAACGTGTTTGATCAGTAAGCTGGCCACATCAGTGAGCTGGCCACCCCCCACCACCACCACCAACCACCACTCACAATATTGATACTCAACCAGCAATGGCGCAGACACAACGCGTCAATTCAACGTCAAAGGAAGGCAGATTGCTGCTTGCAGTTGCAGCAATCAAATCAGACCCCAGTCTCACGATTCGATCGATTGCTCACGCGTACGACGTCCCACGATCAACCCTCCAGACGCGCCTACAAGGCACTCTCTCAAGAGATGAGAAACGAAGTCCAAATCGCAGACTGCTTTTGTCCGAAGAACAGGCGTTGGTTCACTGGATTCTTGACCTTGATCGTCGTGGATATCCTCCTCAAGCTATTATTGTAGAACGTATGGCCAATACCCTACTTGCAGCACGAGGGGAGAACCCTCCACCTCCACCTATAGGCAAGTGCTGGGTGACGCGATTTGTCAACAATCAGTCAGAGCTACGGACGAAGTGGAATAGGAAATTCGACTACCAGCGCGCAAAATCAGAGGATCCTGCTGCAATCAGCGCGTGGTTTCGCCTGGTTCAGGACATTCGCTAGACATATGGCGTCTTGGATGAGGATATCTACAATTTTGATGAGACAGGATTTATGATAGGAGTAGCAGCAACGTCAAAGGTAATCACAAGCCGTGACAGAGTTGGTCGAGCAGTTGCTGTTCAACCAGGCAATCGTGAATGGATCACGACAATCGAAGGCATTCGCGCGTCAGGCCAGGCCATTGCTCCTTTCGTGATCCTGTCTGCAAAGCAGCACCAATCCTGCTGGTACAACGACGTCCCTCCTGGATGGATGATAGCAGTTAGTGACAATGGCTGGACAACTGATGTCCTTGGCCGCTCATGGATTGAGCATTTCAACAGACAAACCAGGTCTCAAACTGCTGGGTTCTATCGACTCTTAATTCTTGATGGCCACAGTAGCCACGCTACAGTCGAATTTGATAGCTACTGCAGAGAGAACAACATTATCACGCTCTGTATGCCTGCTCATACATCTCACGTCCTACAGCCGCTAGATGTGAGCTGCTTCTCGCCATTGAAACGCGCGTACGGTCACGCGATTGCTGAGATGGCGCGGCGAAAAGTCTATCATATTGACAAAATTGACTTCCTCCAGACGTATCAGGACATCAGGAGGACAGTATTCACAGAAAAGACTATCAAATCAGGCTTTCTAGCTACAGGGCTTGTCCCAAGCTGTCCAGAACGCGTCTTATCGTCGCTTACGGTTGTCAGAACTCCGTCACCAACTCCTATTATAACTGACAATTCTCGCGCCTGGGTAGCAGAAACGCCTCACACGGTTGACCAAGTAAAGCAGCAGGCTCGACTAATTCAGGACCTGCTTAAGCGTCAATCACAGAGCCCTAGTAGTATTGCAATTTCTCAACTTGTCAAAGGTTGTCAGATGGCGATGCACTCAGCTACGATTTTGTTAGAGGAAAACATCCGTCTCCAAGCAACTGTGACGCGCCAACAAAAGAAGCAGCAGAGGAGACGACAATATATAGCAGTTGGAGGCGCTTTGCAGTCAGAGGAAGGTCAGAGGTTGGCTATAGAGGCTGATAGATTGATTGAAGCGCGTGATCGTCAGCAGGCAGAAAGGCGACAACGCGCGCCAAGAACCTGTTCAAATTGTCACCAACAAGGCCATATTCGGACACAATGTAGACAGAGATTGTCGTAATCCAGTCAATCAATATTCTTACCAGTTGAAACGGTGGTTGGTGATATAATCTACAATATTCGGTGGTGGTGGTGGGGGGGTGGCCAGCTCACTGATGTGGCCAGCTTACTGATCAAACACGTTAGTTCCAATGTGTTGTAAGGCTGGATATCAATTGTTGGAGAAGACGCATTGCTCTTGTGGCTGAGCCGTTGGCGGATCATGTCACCGCCATAATTATGATGCGATCTAATCGTCTTTCATCTAATCTCGGCGAATTTCAAAGCCGGAAAGGCTTAGCCGATCGAAAACAAACGTCCTTGCTTGGTCATTTCACCGATGTTTCTGGACAACAAAGGCTCGTTCATAGTGAACCATGGCACGATCGGACCGATTTAGATGATTGCGCACCCCAACAGCCAGGAAATTGCGCCGAAGAATGCTTGGAATCGAATCACCCACGCGGCGCATTTGTAAGAGTAGTCCCTACACTCTTGCGTCATTGCGGAAAAGTTCCGTAGACTGCCATGGTTTTCATAATCACGAAAAGCATTGCTGATCAACTAAAGAAATGATTTTTATAAATAATGGAATTGCATCCGGGGAATTCAGTTGCCCACTCGCCAGCAACACTGATACTTGCGCCATCACTCCAACATGCGGTCGTCCATTTCCCTCGCAGTAGCTGCTCTTGCAACAGCCGTTTTTGCTACACCTAGTACCGAGAACCGTACGATCGACGAGATCTACCAAGCTGCCCTAAATGAAGGAGGAGTTGTCACACTCTGGCATGGCGGTGATGAGAAAAATCAGCAAGATGGTTTGAAACAGGCTTTCGAGAAACGCTTCCCCGGCATTACCCTGAACGTCACTGTCGATTTATCTAAATACCACGACGGTCGTCTCGATGAACAGCTCGCCAATAATGATGTCCAAGTAGACAGTATTATCTTGCAGACGCTTCACGATTATCCTCGTTGGAAGGAGGAGGGTGCTCTTCTCAACTACAAGCCCCAAAACTTTGAGAGCATCGCGTCTGAATTCCAGGATCCAGACGGCGCATACTATGGTTATGCCATCTTCGGCTGGACCACCACTTGGAATACAGCCAAGTACAATGGAAGTCTCGGTGATTTCGCAGATGCATTACTGCCCGAGTTGAAGGACAAGCTCATCCTCACCTACCCTAATGACGACGACGCTGTGCTGTACGCTTTCGATCTTGTGTAAGTATTCCATTGATCAGAAGTTGGGAATGGTATTGATGAAAAGGCAGAATCAAAAAGCTCGGTAACGAATGGTTCGATGCTCTCGTCGCCCAAAACCCGACTTGGGTCCGCGGAAGTGCTACACCCGGGGACCAGCTTGCTCTAGCGAACAACTCGTATGTTGCTGCCTTTGGAACAGGCGGCTTTTCTGGTCCCAATGTAAACACCTCTTTGCCAACCGATGCACCCTTCGTCACCTGGCCCCAAACTGCAGCCATCCTTAAGGATGCCCCTCATCCCGAGGGCGCAAAACTGCTCCACAACTTCATCCTCAGCGACGAGTGGCAATTCGCTACACCACAGTGGACTGTCCGTACTGATGCCCCTGCGAACTTTCCCGATATCTTCCAGGAGCCCAACACTAATGTGACCGACTTCCTCCCCTGGATGTTGGACAGGCCTAATGTTGAGAGGCTCCGTTTCTGGTACGAGGCGAGACTCGGAACTGCCCAAGGACTCAGTCCTCTCGAGGATGATTTGTAAATGCTTGTAATTGAAATTTTTCAGCGGCGCATATATGCACACCAATGTACGCCAGTGCGGTCTATTACGGTGTTGCGATAGAAACATTGTACATATTCGCGACCTTCAATAAATTATTAGACCAATATCTTACCATTCTCTGAGAGTGCTTTACAGTTTCAGAGATGATGCGTTGTGTACAAGAATTACGAGAGTAATTGACACCATGTAACCAGGGAAAATTATACAAGACTAAGAAAAAATGACGATGATTCGCGAATTGCTTTTACGAGTAGATCTGATAACTGTAACCTTGGCGTGGAAAGTCGTTTCGATTATCGGACCTACTTCACAGCACAAGTACAGGGGTTGGCCTAGACCTGCCGTCTGTGCCGTAGTGGCCGAAACCACTGAGATCTGCAATGACAAGGCAGTGTACCTGCATTGATAATGCGACATCGTTCAAAATTGCCCAATACAGGTTTCAGACATGCAAGAAATTCTGGATGAGAGGCTCTCGGTACACCCCTATCCGTGTTAGTATCGATTTAGAGAGTCAGGTCTGAACGTCGCTGTTTAGCAACATTAAATTGTCGGATCTCAATGTCGCGTAAATCTGCCATATGGATTGCTTGAAAAATCATATCATACCGCCAACATTCAGATTCATCACACGAATTAACATAATAGCGACACAATAGCGTTTGCTCCGTATCATTATCACATCAAATAACAAGACATGTCCACATATTACTCGACCTATCTCACTTTATTTAACCGGTACAAGATCGTGAGGTCCATGATGAACAATGAAGTGTAAAAATGTTTAACCTGAGCTTAGTTACCTCCCGAGGTCTTTATGCGCATGTGTTCCGGTTGGTCAAGAACAGGTGCTCGGTGCTCTTGACCAAGGGCCATACTATCATCTATTACTTATAAGTATAGGGGTTTAATCATCCTATAATAGTGACTTTAGCTTTTGCGGTCCACGGTGGCGCGTGCTAATATTGTTGTTATAGGATTGTATTCTTGTGTCTTTGTGTTATTGTGTCACTTTGTCATTGTGTCACTTTGTCACTTTGTCATTGTGTCACTTTGTCATTGTGTCACTTTGTCACTTTGTTATTGTGTAACACTTGATTCTCCAATCTTTGAGGAGTTGACGTCGGCTTATCTCTTTGTTAGTAGGTGTATATATTCAGGTAGAAACAGTAGCAGAGGAATGTATCCCTTCTGTTCAACATAAACCATCAATTCACGAAGTAAGACACCATTCAAAAGCGAGATAATGCTTAATCGCTTCCATCCGTTCCGTCGTCCAAATGGCCAGACACACCAGGGTCCTTTGGGGGTCCGCGACTCTTCCGCGGTACTTCGACGAAGCAAGACGCTATCAAAGTTTGAGCAACTTCCGTTCAAGCTAAGAGAGCGCATATATCTGTATCACATTATGAATTGCAGTGCGAAATGTGGGGACCAGATAACGTCCGTCCCTGCGTAACGAAAAACCCGCCATGCCGAAAAGGATTCCACAAATAGTCAGATTGGATCCTCCAATTTAGTGGAATTAGAGTAATTTGAGTTTCAAGGTGTCGATTAAGTACGTCTGCTCTCCAGCCAGTTGAAACATAGAAAATTACATGAATTATCACCATGCTGTCGCTCTTTTCGTCATATACCTGTACAACTTCGCCTGTTCCAAAGCTATATAACAATGTAGTTATGTGTCTATCATTCATGCCTATCGGTGCAGCTAAAATACCCTTCCACCTGTCTATAAAAGCCCTCCGTGCAATCAAAGGCTAATCTATATTACAGGAATATAGTCCGGATTTATCCGGCTGGAGAGGCCCTCAACAGCTCTTGGCAGGCCACTTGACACTCCACCTACAAGGCTTAGCGTATGCTGTCTAAGTAATGTAAATTACACAAACACCTGGCTAGGCTTTATCACTGCCTCCAATCCTGGATCAAACGATAATCCGAAAATTGACGTAATCCGCACAGCCACAAATCGTACGGTAAAGATACGCAGATGTAACTTAGGACACACATATTATCGCGGAACCCATCGACGGGGCGGCTTGATTTATGCAGGACTGATCTGCTGATCGGCACTTCCTGCAGAAGTAGCAGCCGAACCTGGCTGGTGCGTGATGACTTGCAGATCCAGCCTTACGCTTGCCGTGTATCTTGATGACTGCTCGGTCTGTGGCTATGTGGCTGTTGCGGCTATGCGACGCCGCTGCCAAGTACTCTGGAAAATCAGAGCTCCTGGATTGGGAGCAGGGCTGAGGTCAACGGCTGCTACCTGCTTAGCTTTTGACATAGCCCTTTATCAACTATATTAATCATCTACAGGTAACGGGGAGCAACAGTGCAGGTACGCAGAATACGTGAAGGTCT